CGACAGACACGCTCGACACTCGACTCAATCGACAGACACGCTCGACACTCGACTCAATCGACAGACACGCTCGACACTCGACTCAATCGACAGACACTCGACACTCGACTCAATCGACAGACACGCTCGACACTCGACTCAATCGACAGACACGCTCGACACTCGACTCAATCGACAGACTCTCGACACTCGACTCAATCGACAGACACTCTCGACACTCGACTCAATCGACAGACTCTCGACACTCGACTCAATCGACAGACACGCTCGACACTCGACTCAATCGACAGACACTCTCGACACTCGACTCAATCGACAGACACTCTCGACACTCGACTCAATCGACAGACACGCTCGACACTCGACTCAATCGACAGACACGCTCGACACTCGACTCAATCGACAGACACGCTCGACACTCGACTCAATCGACAGACACTCTCGACACTCGACTCAATCGACAGACACGCTCGACACTCGACTCAATCGACAGACACTCTCGACACTCGACTCAATCGACAGACACACTCGACACTCGACTCAATCGACAGACACTCTCGACACTCGACTCAATCGACAGACACTCTCGACACTCGACTCAATCGACAGACACACTCGACACTCGACTCAATCGACAGACTCTCGACACTCGACTCAATCGACAGACACTCGACACTCGACTCAATCGACAGACACTATCGACACTCGACTCAATCGACAGACTCTCGACACTCGACTCAATCGACAGACACTCGACACTCGACTCAATCGACAGACACTCGACACTTGACTCAATCGACAGACACGCTCGACACTCGACTCAATCGACAGACACTCTCGACACTCTCGACTCAATCGACAGACTCTCGACACTCGACTCAATCGACAGACACGCTCGACACTCGACTCAATCGACAGACACGCTCGACACTCGACTCAATCGACAGACACGCTCGACTCTCGACACTCGACTCAATCGACAGACACTCTCGACACTCGACTCAATCGACAGACACGCTCGACTCTCGACACTCGACTCAATCGACAGACGCTCGACACTCGACTCAATCGACAGACACTCTCGACACTCGACTCAATCGACAGACTCTCTCGACACTCGACTCATTCGACAGACACGCTCGACACTCGACTCAATCGACAGACTCTCGACACTCGACTCAATCGACAGACTCTCTCGACACTCGACTCAATCGATAGACTCTCGACATTCGACTCAATCGACAGACACGCTCGACACTCGACTCAATCGACAGACACGCTCGACACTCGACTCAATCGACAGACACGCTCGACACTCGACTCAATCGACAGACTCTCGACACTCGACTCAATCGACAGACACGCTCGACACTCGACTCAATCGACAGACTCTCGACACTCGACTCAATCGACAGACACGCTCGACACTCGACTCAATCGACAGACACGCTCGACTCTCGACACTCGACTCAATCGACAGACGCTCGACACTCGACTCAATCGACAGACACTCTCGACACTCGACTCAATCGACAGACTCTCTCGACACTCGACTCAATCGACAGACTCTCGACACTCGACTCAATCGACAGACACGCTCGACACTCGACTCAATCGACAGACACGCTCGACTCTCGACACTCGACTCAATCGACAGACGCTCGACACTCGACTCAATCGACAGACACTCTCGACACTCGACTCAATCGACAGACTCTCTCGACACTCGACTCAATCGACAGACTCTCTCGACACTCGACTCAATCGACAGACGCTCGACACTCGACTCAATCGACAGACACTCTCGACACTCGACTCAATCGACAGACTCTCGACACTCGACTCAATCGACAGACTCGACACTCGACTCAATCGACAGACACGCTCGACACTCGACTCAATCGACAGACTCTCGACACTCGACTCAATCGACAGACACTCTCGACACTCGACTCAATCGACAGACACACTCGACACTCGATTCAATCGACAGACTCTCGACACTCGACTCAATCGACAGACACGCTCGACACTCGACTCAATCGACAGACACTCTCGACACTCGACTCAATCGACAGACTCGCTCGACACTCGACTCAATCGACAGACACTCTCGACACTCGACTCAATCGACAGACACGCTCGACACTCGACTCAATCGACAGACACGCTCGACACTCGACTCAATCGACAGACACTCTCGACACTCGACTCAATCGACAGACACGCTCGACACTCGACTCAATCGACAGACACTCTCGACACTCGACTCAATCGACAGACTCGCTCGACACTCGACTCAATCGACAGACACTCTCGACACTCGACTCAATCGACAGACACTCTCGACACTCGACTCAATCGACAGACTCGCTCGACACTCGACTCAATCGACAGACACTCTCGACACTCGACTCAATCGACAGACACTCTCGACACTCGACTCAATCGACAGACACGCTCGACACTCGACTCAATCGACAGACACTCTCGACACTCGACTCAATCGACAGACACTCTCGACACTCGACTCAATCGACAGACACTCTCGACACTCGACTCAATCGACAGACTCTCGACACTCGACTCAATCGACAGACACTCTCGACACTCGACTCAATCGACAGACACTCTCGACACTCGACTCAATCGACAGACACACTCGACACTCGACTCAATCGACAGACTCTCGACACTCGACTCAATCGACAGACACTCTCGACACTCGACTCAATCGACAGACACGCTCGACACTCGACTCAATCGACAGACTCTCGACACTCGACTCAATCGACAGACACTCTCGACACTCGACTCAATCGACAGACACTCTCGACACTCGACTCAATCGACAGACACTCTCGACACTCGACTCAATCGACAGACTCTCGACACTCGACTCAATCGACAGACACTCTCGACACTCGACTCAATCGACAGACACTCTCGACACTCGACTCAATCGACAGACACTCTCGACACTCGACTCAATCGACAGACACGCTCGACACTCGACTCAATCGACAGACACTCTCGACACTCGACTCAATCGACAGACACTCTCGACACTCGACTCAATCGACAGACACACTCGACACTCGACTCAATCGACAGACACTCTCGACACTCGACTCAATCGACAGACTCTCGACACTCGACTCAATCGACAGACACTCTCGACACTCGACTCAATCGACAGACACTCTCGACACTCGACTCAATCGACAGACACTCTCGACACTCGACTCAATCGACAGACACGCTCGACACTCGACTCAATCGACAGACACTCTCGACACTCGACTCAATCGACAGACACTCTCGACACTCGACTCAATCGACAGACACTCTCGACAATCGACTCAATCGACAGACTCTCTCGACACTCGACTCAATCGACAGACTCTCGACACTCGACTCAATCGACAGACACGCTCGACACTCGACTCAATCGACAGACACGCTCGACACTCGACTCAATCGACAGACACGCTCGACACTCGACTCAATCGACAGACACGCTCGACACTCGACTCAATCGACAGACACTCGACACTCGACTCAATCGACAGACACGCTCGACACTCGACTCAATCGACAGACACGCTCGACACTCGACTCAATCGACAGACACTCTCGACACTCGACTCAATCGACAGACACGCTCGACACTCGACTCAATCGACAGACACGCTCGACTCTCGACACTCGACTCAATCGACAGACACGCTCGACACTCGACTCAATCGACAGACACTCTCGACACTCGACTCAATCGACAGACACGCTCGACACTCGACTCATTCGACAGACACGCTCGACACTCGACTCAATCGACAGACACTCTCGACACTCGACTCAATCGACAGACACGCTCGACACTCGACTCAATCGACAGACACGCTCGACTCTCGACACTCGACTCAATCGACAGACTCTCGACACTCGACTCAATCGACAGACTCTCTCGACACTCGACTCAATCGACAGACTCTCGACATTCGACTCAATCGACAGACACGCTCTACACGCGCGACACACTACACTCGACACTCTCGACTCACTCAACTGTCGTCACTCTCTACACACTCGACACTCTCGACATGCTCGACTCACTCGACACACGCGACACTCGACACACGCGACACTCTCGACACTACTCGCTCGACACTCTACACTCTCGACACACGTGACTCTCGACACTCGGCACGCGCGACACACTACACTCGACACTCTCGACTCACTCGACTCTCGTCACTCTCTACACACTCGACACTCTCGACATGCTCGACACACTCGACACACTCCTGCTCTGAGACGACTACTGCAGGCTTTCACATTACATTCAATGGGTAACACGCTGTTTCTCTTCAAATATTTGTAAAATTTACTTGCCATTTCTGAGTGAAAATAGTTTAAAAGTAAGTTTATTTCAGGTTAAACCAGTGTTATTAACCTTCATCCTTCCCTCGCAGGTCTAAATGACCCGAAGCCCTAAAATGATACTTACATTTTTTTTGTCCAGAAAGCTTATTTTATTTAATTTCAATAAATTTTTTTTTTTTTTTTTTTTTTACCTTTAAATTACTAGATTTGTTCAATAAATAATAAATTAATAGTAATTTAGTCATTTAAGCACATTCCTCACATTTTTTCAACTTAAATTCAAAATAACTCAATAACAATTTCATGCATAACCCTTTCAATTCCGCTTAAAATATCTTACGTCGGGTGTCTTTGCCGATCTCTTGTGGAAAAATAGTATATGCTCTGAAGCATCCCTCGCATTCCTTCCTAAGGGGGTCAAGTTGACCCGTGAGGGAAGGTCCTAGGGTCGTGGACCCCTCTGATGAACACTCGATTTTTACATTTTAAATAAATAATAAAATTCTAAAATATTTTCCGGGTGAAAAATGACCGGAGGGAAGGATGAGGAGGAAACCTGTAGTAGAAGCTGAGTCTGACTGGTTCTGACTGGTTTGTTGCGCTGCTGGTCTCAGATAAACACCACCAGTGACGAGCGGGACCGGTCGAACCCGTTCCGATTCGCTAACATCGGCGTGGAGAAGTTCCTGGAGCTGAACTCCGAGCAGAACCACGACGACTACTGCCTGGCCTACGTGTTCACGGACCGGGACTTCGACGACGGGGTTCTGGGTCTGGCCTGGGTCGGGGCTCCCGCCGGTAAACCAGCGCTTCTGCAGGAGAACCCTGAGTGAGTGTGTGTGTGTGCTGATGTGTGTCTGTGTGTGTGTGTGTGTCCTCAGGGAGTTCTGGAGGCATCTGTGAGAAGAGTAAGCTGTATTCCGACGGGAAGAAGAAGTCTCTGAACACCGGGATCATCACGGTGCAGAACTACGCCTCACACGTGCCTCCCAAAGTCTCACACATCACCTTCGCACACGAGGTGGGACACAACTTCGGCTCGCCGGTGAGTGGATGCACACACGTGACCGACACACGCCTGACTGGATACATGTGGCTCATGATCTGACAGCGGGACTACAACTTTAGTGTTGTGGACAAATGTAATAATAATAATAATAATAATAATAAATTGAATTTGTATAGCGCTTTTCTCGAACTCAAAGTCGCTTTACAGGGCAGGTGAATAAGCAAGAGAAAAAAAAAGAAAAAAAGAAAGAAAAAAACAGGCACATATAGGGATGGGAGGGGCGTGGGGCTACGGATAGGCAGAGGTGAAGAGATGGGTCTTGAGGCGGGACTGGAAGATGGTGAGGGACTCAGAGGTGCGGATCTCATGGGGGAGGGAGTTCCAGAGCCTGGGAGCTGCCCTGGAAAAGGCTCTGTCCCCAAAACTGCGGAGCTTGGACTTGTGGATGCAGAGGAGACCGGCTGAGGTGGATCTGAGGGACCGTGAGGGTTGATAGGGGGAGAGGAGGTCAGTGAGGTATGAGGGGGCCAGGTGGTGGATGGCTTTGTAGGTAAGGACCAGGATTTTGTATGTGATCCGGTAGGGCTGTAACGATACACGATATAAAATCGAAATCGCGATACTCAGGTCCACGATCCTGTATCGCGATGTGAGAAGGCAGAATCGCGATCACACCCCTTCCAACTCCCAGAGTTATCCTTCCTGTCCAGAACCAGGGCTCGAATTTCGGCGCGGGATTGCGGGTATTGCGCATAATTCTAATCATTCCCGCAGGTCTCCCATTTCGTCCTCTATCTCTTCTCATAATGTGTTGTCCAAGGCAGGCATCAAGCGCTGCGGCGATAATACACACTCGCGTTGTGGAGTCGGGACCATAGACTGTAAGGTCGAGACATGACGGAATATTCACTTGCACAATCGGGCCAGCAGTGCATCGTGACTGAAGTCTTTTTAAGTCTTACCAGTTTAAACATTCAAGCGATTTTAAACTAATCAGTGCTCGCGCGCTCTCTGAGATTATTTTCTATGCGGACATTCATAGAAAATCCGCCTTAAAAACAGCTGGCTAGTAACTATTTTTCGCGGATTATATTGCTTTAACACACAAAATTGTCAATTTCGGTCTTTATGAGTAGGCTATACTCTAAATATAGTCGGTTTTGTCTTTAATAAGCATAAAACGCATGCCAGTATAATGAACACAGGATCCGTGCACTAGCTCTTAAAGTGACGGCAGCCATATGTGTCTGTCATTAATTTTGTTGTCAAAACAACAAAAGATGGCTTTAAGTTAAAGGAATCAGGATTAATAGCCTATGTATTTAATTTATTCAGGACTAAAATACATTTAATTAAACAATTTAAATCAAGCTTCCTTGTGATGTGTAAATTCTTAACAAGGCTATTACCCCATTGTAAAAATGCAATGAGCGCAAACATTTAGGCAAGATAAATGTAATAATTTTGTTTGGAAAAAATGCCCTGCCTTTCTCCCCCTCAAACAAAAAAAATCCCCCCCCCCCATGAGAATCATCTAAAGGGGGGATTTCCCCCCCATTTTCCAAAACGAAATTCAGGCCCTGAGAACTACCACATCTTTAAATTACTATTTCCACTTCTCCAAACACTTCTTTACTATTCTCCCATTTTTATAATAATATGAATGAACCGTCTTGTTTAATCTTAAAGTTTTGGTGGTCAGATGCATATCTTACGGCACCATCCCGAAATCAATTTAGTTGGAGTACAGAACACAACCCAAAAGCAGCAGCCTACACTGCCTAGTATAGTTTAATAATTTGCATAGTTAGTATTGTTCTTTGCTGTTTCGATTATACAGGTTTTTCCTAATGTTATTCAATAAAAATACTGGTATTTTTCTTCTTCTCTCAAAATCTCTTTTTTTCACCACAAGCCCCGCCCCCTCAAGCCACGCCCCCGTGATAGAATCGCGATACGAATCGAATCGTGGGTCAAAAATCGTGATACGAATCGAATCGTGGGTTTGGTGTATCGTTACAGCCCTATGATCCGGTGGGAAATAGGAAGCCAGTGTAGTTGTTTTAGGACTGGAGTGATGTGGTGCCAGGATTTGGAGCGGGTGATGAGTCGGGCGGCTGCATTCTGGACCAGTTGGAGTCTTTTTATGTAGTTTGAGCTAATACCAAGGAGTAGTGAGTTGCAGTAGTCCAGTCGTGAGGAGATGAAGGCGTGAATGAGTCTTTCAGCAGCAGAGGGTGTGAGTGAGGATCTGATTTTGGCGACGTTGCGGAGGTGAAAGAAGGAGGTTTTAATGACATGACAGATGTGAGGTTCAAGGGAGAGGGTTGAATCAAAAACCACGCCGAGGTTGCGGGGATGGGGAGACAATGGTGTCGTCAATGGTGAGAGTGATGTTATTGGTTTTGCTGAGAGTGGATTTGGAGCCTATGAGGAGGAATTCTGTTTTATTGCTTTTGAGTTTGAGGAAGTTATGTTGCATCCAGGTTTTAATAGCTGACAGACAGGAGTTGATATGGGAGAGGAGAGGATTGTGGGGGGATTTGGTGCTGAGGTAGATCTGAGTGTCATCGGCATAACAGTGGAAATTCAGTTTGAAGTGACGAAGTATCTGACCAAGGGGGAGGATGTAAATGATGAAGAGGAGGGGGCCGAGTACGGATCCTTGGGGAACGCCTTGGGTGACTGTGGCTGTTGCAGAGGTGTGATTATGAAGAGAGATGAAGTGGGATCTGTTGGAAAGGTAGGAACGGAGCCAGCTGAGTGCAATACCTTCGATACCAAGGTCTTTGAGTCTGGTGAGCAGGATGTTATGGCTCACGGTATCGAAGGCTGCACTCAGGTCGAGAAGAATAAGGATGTTAAGGGAACCAGTGTCAGCGGAGGTGAGGAGGTCATTAAGGACTTTGAGGAGAGCAGTTTCTGTGCTGTGGAGGGGGCGAAAACCAGATTGGAGAGGTTCAAATTGGTTATTGGCATGAAGATGGGTTTGTAATTGTAAAGCGACTATACGTTCCAGGGTTTTAGACAGAAAGGGGAGGGTGGAAATTGGGCGGTAGTTGTTGAGGGAAGAGGGATCCAGACCAGGTTTTTTGAGGATTGGGGTGACAGCGGCAGTTTTGAAAGCAGAGGGAACAGTTCCAAGGGACAATGAGGAATTGAAGAGGTTAGTGAGGTAGGGGCAAAGGACGGGGAGGCAGGATTTCAGGAGTGGAGTAGGGAGGGAGTCAAGTGAGCAGGTAGTCGGTTTGGAAGAACTGATGAGTTTAGAGATTTCAAGAGTGGTGACCAAGTTAAACTGGGAGAGGAGGCAGTGTGGAGAAGGGGGAGAGAGGTCAGGAGGGATGGGGGGAAAAGGGCCCGTGATAGGTGCTGGAGTAGATACTGGAAGGTCGGATGCAGGGGATAGAGATTGATAAATGATATTGATTTTATCAGCGAAAAAGTGAAGGAATGAGTTGCAGAGATCCGGAGTAGGGATAAGGAAGGTGTTGGTCCGAGGCTTGATGAGGTTGTTCAATGTGGAGAAGAGGGTTCTGGGGTTTAGACAGGGGTTGGTGAGGATGGTGGAGAGGTAGGCAGATTTGGCGGCAATGAGGGCATCTTTGTAGGCAATGAGGTGGAGTTTATAGACTTCATGGTGGACTGTGAGAGATGATTTTTTTGTCAGGCGTTCAAGTTGGCGTCCAGTTTGTTTCATTTTCCGGAGTGCAGGTGTGTACCAGGGTGACGAGTTGTTAAAAGTGACAGTTTTTGTTTTGAGGGGGGCCAAAGTGTTAAGGGAGGTACACAAAACGGAGTTGAGGTGGTTTGTGAGATCATCAGGTGAGGTGAGGGTTGAGTCCATGTGGAGAGTGGTGGAGAGCAGGTCAGAGAGATGATGGGGATCAATTGATTTAAGGTTGCGGAAGGTGATTTCTCTGAGGAGGCGGGGGCGGGGGGTTGGAGACGGAATGGTGAACCGTATCAGTTTGTGATCAGAGAGGGGAAAGAGGCATGGATGGAGGTTGAGCACTGGTTGGTTAGTGGAGCAGACCAGATCGAGGATGTGTCCTTTTTCATGGGTGGGGAATGTGACATACAATTTACCCAACAGAGAGTAAAGTTGTCCAATAAAATTGTGAATTCTGATGACAGCTTGCAGGTGGAGGAGTCTATGTGGATGTTTAGGTCACCGAGTAGTAGCAGACGTGGAGAGAGAGATGAAGCTAGTGTGAGGAGTTCAGTTAAATCAGAGAGGAAGGAGGGATTTGGTTTAGGTGGCCGGTAAATGAGGATAACTGTCATGGAGGAAAGAGCTTTGAAGACGAGATATTCAAATGATGATACTGAAGGGAGGGTGAGTTCAGTGATCCGGAAGTTCTGATTATAAATATCAAATGTAAAATGTTGATAACTAAAATCTCAGTTTTAGTTATTATACTGGTGATGGTGATTATTAGGGCTGCACAATTAACCGAATTTCTAATCGCGATTACGGATGCCACGATTACGTAATCGTTCAAAGCCGCAATTACAACAACAAAAAAAAGTCCACTTACATTATTCTGTGTGTTTAAGAGGTGTGTTTAGAGCATGTCATGTTGTGAGAGGCGGATCACGACTGCTTCAGAGAACTAGCACACAGGGCCTAGCAGAGACGCGTGTGCGCTGAAAGAGTCTTTCCTGTCAGCCGTTATACTGCGCTAGTAGCGAAAACTCTTCAACTGCACATGCTAATGCGGCGCGCGCTGTTTATCGCTCCACTATATATAAAGCGCAAAAGAAACTACGGGCATGAAGCGTCGTTACGTTGTAAAGTAAGTCGGGAAATAACAGTAAAATACCAATAAATAACGTTACTGGTCCGTCGTGTGTTCGCTGAGAAGGATTAGCATGCAGGATGATGTTCATTATTCATCAGGAGCAGTTTCCATGTTTCATTAACAGTTCTTGTTAGTATTGTGTATTCATTGTTGTTCCCATAAACAATAAAAAAAAATCAATAATTTATAAATCCTTAAAGTGGGTCGGGCTTGATGACCATGGGGAAATGTGGGTCCCATGGCCGAACGAGTTGAGAACCTCAGGTATAAAGCCATTCAAAACATCATTTAATGTAAATTGTGATAATCGTAATTAATAATCGCAATTACAAATTCAAGGGAATAATCGACAATTATGATTTTTGTCATAATCGTGCAGACCTAGTGATGATGCTCTTCTTCCCTCAGCATGACTCCGGGTCGGAGTGCACTCCGGGCGAGTCCAAGAGCCAGGATAAGAAGGAGCGGGGGAACTACATCATGTACGCCCGCGCCACATCCGGAGACAAGCTGAACAACAACAAGTTCTCGGTGTGCAGCATCAAGAACATCAGCCAGGTGCTGGAGAAGAAGAGGGGCAGCTGCTTCGTGGGTGAGCCAATCAGAGCCACTGATGCAACGAGTCCTGCAGGTCTGAGCGCAGCTGATATGTGTGTGTGTCTGTGTGTGTGTGTGTGTGTGTGTGTGTGTGTGTGTGCGCGTGTGTGTGCGTGTGTGCGCGTGTGTGTCCGTGTGTGTTCGCGCGCCTGTGTGTGTGTGTGTGGCAGAGTCCGGGCAGCCGATCTGTGGGAACGGGCTGGTGGAGCCGGGTGAGGAGTGTGACTGTGGATACAGTGATCAGTGTAAAGACGACTGCTGCTACGATGCTAATCAACCCGACAACAGGAAGTGCAAACTCAAACCCAACAAAGTCTGCAGGTACAAGTCACATTCCCCTCGTTCCCTTTACTGTGATTCTCCAGACAGTTTCTCGTTACTCTCAGTGATTTTCATTCATAATGTCATGAGTGTAAAATAACTACAAATAACACCCTCCTGTTCTTCACACTCTACAGAACACAGTGTGCTTCATTTATAGCACAACAGTCACAGTGCAAAAATGTTCATTCTTAAGGATTATATTCAGTTTCCAGTAACACTTTACAGTGAGGTTCCATTAGTTCATGCATTAACTAACAGTGAGCCTTCCCTGCTTCCCTGAAGCTTCAAAACCTTTAGTGAATCATTTGTTTTGAATCAGTGATTTGGAGCGCGTATCAAACTGGCAAAGTCATGTGATTTCAGTAAACTAGGCTTCAAAATAGTTTTTAACTGATCTCAGATCAGTTTTATTCATTTGTAGACATTTTAAATGACTCATTTGTATAATAAAAAGTAGGAGTTGTAGTCAACAATATTGGTCTGATTGATCAAGCTCTCCAATCAACTAAAACAAGCCCAATCTTATAAAATAACATGTTATACAGACACCTCATATTTCATTGTATTAGATGATTTGTTAAGTGATTTCACTTTTAATAAACCATTTGCAATTAGTGTTTTTATGCACGGGTTTTTGCTGCATTTACTCGGGTGAATCGGGTGAATCTCACTGCGAAGCAATTGACTCAAAGTTTCTCAAAGCTTCATTTCTCCTATCACCTTTTCTCTGCAGGGAGTTGGTCAGTCCTTTCCCAAAGGTTAATATTGCTGATGGTGTCAGGCCATCGGATCTGGAGAATTCTTCTAAGACAGCTGTTGATGAAGGTTTGAGCCTTCATGATGGTCATCTTGGTCGTCTTCCAGGTTTCTGCTCCATACAGCAACACTGCCTTCACGTTGGAGTTAAATAGGTGGATCTTTGTTGTCAAGGACAGGGCTCTTGAGCTCCAGATGTTCTTGAGCTATACGTAGGCCGCTCTTGCTTTGCCGATCCTTGCCTTGACGCCTGCGTCTGTGCCGCCCTGTTGGTCAATGACACTGCCCAGGTGAAGGACTGAACTTCTTCCAGGGGACTTCCATTCAGCATGACTGGTTCCATGCTTGAGGATTTTATCTTTAGGATCTTGGTCTTATCTCTGTTTATGTTGAGGCCAATCTGAGATGAGATAGTTGACACTACATCTGTCTTCTCTTGCATCTGCTGTTTGTTGTGGGAGAGAAGTGCAAGGTCATCAGCCAAGTCCTCGAGCTGGGTCCACGAGGTCCACTGGATTACGTTTTTTCGCTCTCTTGTGGCTTCCTTCATAACCCAGTCAATGGCAGACAGCAGGCATCCTCGTCTTTTCACCTGGAAGATGTTAGTGAGCTGCCCTGCATGGATGACTCTACAAGACATTCCATTATAATATTTTCTTATCAAGTTGACCAACTTAACTGGGATGCCGTAGTGTCAAAGGAGCTTCCAAAGGGTCTCTCAATCCAAGCTGTCAAATGTCTTCTCATAGTCGACAAAGTTGACAAAAGGAGGAATTCCACTCGAGGGACTGTTCGACTCTGATGCGGTGTTGCGATCTGGTCCGTGCATGATCTATTCTGCCGGAAGCCTGCTTGTTGATCTCGAAGCTGTGTGTCAGCAATGTCTTTCATTCTCTCCAGGAGGACCCGATTGAAAACCTTCCTTGGTACAGACAGAGGTGTGATGCCTCTGTAGTTGGCACAATTGCTGAGGTCACCTTGTTTAGGGATCTTTACCAGGTATCCTTATTTCCAGTTTGTCGGAATCTCCTCTTCTTCCCAGATCATCTCAAAGAGAGGATACAGCATCTCCACCTCAGGGCCTCTGCTGGGATGTCATCAGGTCCGGCCCCCTTCGCAGTCTTCAACCAGTGATGGCTTTCTTGATTTCCTCTCTGGTTGGCTTGTTACAGTTGATGAGTCTGAGATGGCCAGGTCGGTGTTTGGTGGATTAGGTGGAGCTGGTCTATTCAAGAGCTCTTGGAAGTGCTCGGCCCACCTCTTCATCTGCTGCTCGATCTCTTTGATGGTCTTTCCCTGCTTGTCCTTGACAGGCCGCTCTGGCTTGCTGAACCTTCCAGACAGTCGCCTGGTGATGGCATATATTTGTATATGCCGTTGTATGCTCCCTGCTCTGCTTCAGCTGCCAGTCCACTCACATAGTCTTCTTTATCCTTCTTGATACTCCTCTTCACTGCTTTGTAATCTATTTGAGCCTGGGCTTTTGCTGCTCTAGTCCTACTGCTATTGACTGCCGCTTTCTTCCTATCCTCCATCTTGGTCAAGGTCTCCACTGTAATCCACTCTTTATGCAGGTGTTTTCCCAATCCGAGTACTGGCATACTGATCTGAGTGCCTCTTTTACTGGCTGCCATCTACCGAGTATTTTGTCGTCTTCTTCATGCAGTTCTTGCAGTACTTCAGACCTGTTCCTAAGCATCAGTCCGAACTCTGCTCTAGTTTTGGGGTCCTTCAGAAGGTTGATGTTATATTTCACTCTTTTATCAGCCATGGCTGTCCAGTTCTTCTTCAATTTCAGCTTCATTCTGGCCACCACCAGGTGATGGTCGGACACCACATCTACTTCTCTTCTAACTCTAACATCCTTCACGGATCTCCTAAACTTCTTGCTTATACAGACGGGATCTATCTTATTCTCTGTCTTGTTGTTTGGAGATACCCAGGTGCTCTTGTGGATCCGTTTGTGGGGAAAGATGCTGCCTCCAATTACCAGGTTGTTGATTGCACACGTCTGCAAAAAATAAATGAGTCTTAAGAGTAGACTTAAAAGTAGATAAAGTTGGGGCAGTGCTGATATGAACCAGGAGACTATTCCATAGTTTAGGGCTGATGAGAGATAAGGCACGACCACCTCTATTTTTTAGTCTTGTCCTGGGAACTTGATGGACACAGTCCATGTCTCTCCATTCTCATCCATAGTTCCCAGTCTGTGAGTCCCCATGACCTGCTCATATCCCGTGTTATGGGATCCAATCTTGGCACTGAAGTCACCCAAAATGATAGTGATGTCTCGGTCTGGGAATGTTCCCAGGATCTTCTGCAGTCTACTGTAGAACTGGTCTTTATCCTGCTCTTCACTGTCATTGATTGGAGCGTAGTTTACATTGATTTTCTTTTTCTTGCTCCTGAATGATGCTGTAATGATTCTTGAGCCATGCGTCTGCCAACCAGCCAGTGACCTCTGCGCCTGTTTGGACAACATGAAGCCCGCTCCGTGTGTGTGTGTGTGTGTGTGTGTGTGGTGTGCATCGCTGTGTTCGTGCCCAGAGTCCAGCAGCCGCTGCCCTGTCCTCTGTCTCCTCTGGCCCGACCGGGTCCATCTGGTTTCACCTATGCCCAGCAGGGTCAGGTCTACTAGATCTAATAGACCCAACTGGTGGAGTTACACAGAATTTCACCACAGAAATAATTATGGAGATCAGAGATATTGATTTCAGATTAAACTGTTTTAAAAATCGTACCCGTTTGTATCTCATAATCCAACAGTGTACAAAACAATAGTCACAAAATGCCAACATCTGCGTTTGCATTAAACGAGAGAGAGCGAGTCCACGATACTTGATTAAATAATACTTGACATAATTAAATAACTGTACACAATATATTGACTCGACGGAGTTTTAATACTTTATTAGTTCACCAAACGCAAAACTTCCATGAAGAAAAGCCGTTCCTAGCGCTGCTGACTCCAGTGGTTCTGCTCAGCGGTTCTCTGGGAATAGGGTTAGGTTTAATAACTAATGTTAACCAATAGGACCTTATTGTAAAGTGTTACCCATTTTTCTTTTCCCAGCCTACATTACCTTCTGCATCATGATCTGATTGGATTGATAAAGGTTATTGTTTCCCACTCACATGCCCTTGAATCAAATCAGAAAAGAACAGTGTTTCTTTAGTTTCAGGTGTTGGTTCCCTGTTCTCTTAGTCATGAATGTTGTGCGATATATCTGCTGTCAGGGGTCATGAGTGTGTGTGTTCTGCTGTCAGCCCAACTCAGGGCCCGTGCTGCACGGGTGAGTGCGGTTATAAGAGCCGGAACGAGAAGTGTCGAGAGGAGTCCGAGTGCGCTCACCAGGGCATGTGCAGCGGAGCCTCGGCCCAGTGTCCCACATCAGAGCCCAAGGCCAACTTCACTGCCTGCCACGGGGACACACAGGTGTGCCTCAACGGGGTGAGTGAGACGCGCGCACACACACACACACACACACACACACACACACACACACACACACACACACACACACATCAGAGCCCAAGGCCAACTTCACTGCCTGCCACGGGGACACACAGGTGTGCCTCAACGGGGTGAGTGAGACGCGTGCACACACACACACACACACACACACACACACACACACACATCAGAGCCCAAGGCCAACTTCACTGCCTGCCACGGGGACACACAGGTGTGCCTCAACGGGGTGAGTGAGACGCGTGCACACACACACACACACACACACACACACATCAGAGCCCAAGGCCAACTTCACTGCCTGCCACGGGGACACACAGGTGTGCCTCAACGGGGTGAGTGAGACGCGTGCACACACACACACACACACACACACACACACACACATCAGAGCCCAAGGCCAACTTCACTGCCTGCCACGGGGACACACAGGTGTGCCTCAACGGGGTGAGTGAGACGCGTGCACACACACACACACACACACACACACACATCAGAGCCCAAGGCCAACTTCACTGCCTGCCACGGGGACACACAGGTGTGCCTCAACGGGGTGAGTGAGACGCGCACACACACACACACACACACACACACACACATCAGAGCCCAAGGCCAACTTCACTGCCTGCCACGGGGACACACAGGTGTGCCTCAACGGGGTGAGTGAGACGCGCACACACACACACACACACACACACACACACACACATCAGAGCCCAAGGCCAACTTCACTGCCTGCCACGGGGACACACAGGTGTGCCTCAACGGGGTGAGTGAGACGCGCGCACACACACACACACACACACACACACACACACATCAGAGCCCAAGGCCAACTTCACTGCCTGCCACGGGGACACACAGGTGTGCCTCAACGGGGTGAGTGAGACGCGCACACACACACACACACACACACACATCAGAGCCCAAGGCCAACTTCACTGCCTGCCACGGGGACACACAGGTGTGCCTCAACGGGGTGAGTGAGACGCGCACACACACACACACACACACACACACACACACACACACACACACATCAGAGCCCAAGGCCAACTTCACTGCCTGCCACGGGGACACACAGGTGTGCCTCAACGGGGTGAGTGAGACGTGCGCACACACACACACACACACACACACACACACACACATCAGAGCCCAAGGCCAACTTCACTGCCTGCCACGGGGACACACAGGTGTGCCTCAACGGGGTGAGTGAGACGCGTGCACACACACACACACACACACACACACACACACACACACACGCATGCACGTCTGAGCCTCTCTCTCTCTCTATGTGTGTGTAGGGCTGCTCGGGCTCCATCTGTGAGAAGTATGGTCTGGAGGTGTGCACCTGTGCTAGCGTGGACGACACCGACGAGACCGAGCTCTGCCACGTTTGCTGCATGGAGAAAAGTCAGTGTTACACACTACAACACATAAGTGTTACTCAGAGTCGCTTCATTTACATCAGTGCTTTAACACAAGGCATCATTTAATAATGGATTATGATTAAGTTAGGAAAGCAAGGTGTCTGAATATATTTTGGTTTGACTGTACATGAGAATATTTGGAGAATATAAACGGCCTTTATAATGCAATTATTAAACTAAACACAAGATGGCGCCAGTTGTGTTTGTATGAAACGAGATGGTGTAAAAATATCTACTAAATGCCACAACTGACCAATCAGAATCCCATCATAAATGCCATTAATTATCATGCTTAATCTAAAGATGCTGTTATTCCCCTGTTCATAACACACATTTACTGGTTTAATCAAATGAAAATGAAATTTGCAAATGAAATGCAAACCTAAATTGAATATTCAGTTTCTTTTAAATCAAAATGGATATTTATTCATTTTAAATGTCCATTTAATTATTTTCTTGGTTTATTTCATGTTTTAATGTCATGTGGTGTTTTTAACAAACAGTAATGCATTGTTACAGTGTCCTTGTTACACATTTGACATCATCTTACATAATAACAGTAAATTATGCATAATAAAACTCTCCACCATGGGAGACAGGGCCTTTCAGGCAGTCGCCCCACGGCTCTGGAATGCCCTCCCAGAGGCCCTAAGGGCCCCACAAACTCTGGAGGTTTTTAAGAAGGGCCTAAAGACTTTCTTATTTCTAAAGGCCTTTTAACAGTCATGGTTTTAATTTTAATTTTTTAAGGTGTTTTAATGCTTTGTTGATTTTATTATATTCTGGGAATTGTTCTTAACCTCTTTGCTACTGTAGCACTTTGAGATTTCTTTGAAATGTAAAGTGCATTATAAATAAAAATATATTATTATTTATTACAATCAAATAACTCTAAACCAAACCATAAATAAAAGTACAGTTTTATTTGTATAACAAGGGCATTTAAAATAGTGTAACCAAAAACTAAAATATCAAGAACAACAGTACAGTTTATCCACCGTGACAGTCTTTATTGAGATTACATGAGAGCAGCAGCCTTCCCTGCAAACCTGATCTGGATAAACCCTCACAGAACCCTGACCGCGTGTGTGTGTGTGTGTGTGTGTGTGACAGTGAACCCCAGCACCTGCAGCAGCACCGGCTCCGAGCGTCTCGCACGCTTCTTCAATAAGAAGGTCACGACTCTTCAGGCTGGCTCACCCTGCAACGACTTCAAGGGTTACTGTGACGTGTTCATGAAGTGCCGTCTGGTGGACGCCGACGGTCCCCTGGCCCGCCTGAAGAAGGCCATCTTCAACCCCGAGCTGTACGAGAACATCGCAGAGTGGATAGTGGCAAGTGTTTCTGTGTTTCTGTGTGTGTGTGTGTGTGTGTGTGTGTTTCATCTTCAACCCCGAGCTGTACGAGAACAGCGCAGAGTGGATAGTGGCAAGTGTTTCTGTGTGTGTGTGTGTGTGTTTCATCTTCAACCCCGAGCTGTACGAGAACAGCGCAGAGTGGATAGTGGCAAGTGTTTCTGTGTTTCTGTGTGTGTGTGTGTGTGTGTGTGTGTGTGTTTCATCTTCAACCCCGAGCTGTACGAGAACAGCGCAGAGTGGATAGTGGCAAGTGTTTCTGTGTGTGTGTGTGTGTGTTTCATCTTCAACCCCGAGCTGTACGAGAACAGCGCAGAGTGAATAGTGGCAAGTGTTTCTGTGTTTCTGTGTGTGTGTGTGTGTGTGTGTGTGTGTTTCATCTTCAACCCCGAGCTGTACGAGAACAGCGCAGAGTGAATAGTGGCAAGTGTGTGTTGACGAGTGTGTTTTGTGCGCAGGCTCACTGGTGGGCGGTGTTACTGATGGGAATCGCTCTGATTATGCTGATGGCAGGATTCATCAAGATCTGCAGTGTTCACACTCCCAGCAGCAACCCCAAACTGCCCCCGCCCAAACCCCTGCCAGGTGACCGCGCATGGCCATACACACATATATCACGTTTCCATACACACATATATCACGTTTCCATACACACATATATCACGTTTCCATACACACATATATCACGTTTCCATACACACATATATCACGTTTCCATACGCACACACACTATATTGCCAAGTATTGGGACACGCCTCCAAATCATTGAGTTCAGGTGTTCCACTCACTTCCACGGCCACAGGTGTGTAATCCAGCACTCGGCACGCAGACGCTCCTACACACACCTGTGCAAGAACGGGTCGCTCTCAGGAGCTCAGGGAACTCAGGCGTGGGGCCGCGATCGGTTTCCACCTGTGCAATAAGTCCATTCAGGAAATTTCCTCACTACTAAATATTCCACGGTCAAAGTGTTACCATAATAATAATATTTTAATGTTTATTATTGGAATATAACGTGATTAATGATTGTTATTGTTATTATAATCCCAATCAGAGCTATGAATCTCATAAGAGTTTCTGTTAATAAGAAAATACATTAACTTGATGGTCAAAAGTTACTTTTTCAAATGTTGTGCTCCTAATGTTGTGGCAGTTTTGTTGTTGTGGAATATCAGTATTTTCTGTGTATTGTAAGTTGTGAGTTGCAGAATTGAGCGTAACATCCGTGTTTCTCTCTGTGTGGTGAAGGAACGCTGAAGAGACGACGAGCTCAGCAGGCGGCGCAGCAGCAGCAGCAGCAGCATCATCAGCACCTGAACCAGAACCAGCACCAGAACCAGCACGCTCACGGGCACCAGAACCAGCGGCCGGCTGCCCGTCCAGCCCAGCGCCAGCCTCAGCCTCAGCGCCACCACCGGCAGCCCCGCGAGAACTACCAGATGGGCCAGATGAGGCGCTGAGAGCCGCCTGTCCACGGCCCGACTGAAGGAGTCTGACCGTGGAGCCAGGCTTTACTCCAAAGAACCACACCGGGCCGCCGCTCCTCATCATCACAGTAACGCCAGGCTTCATCCGGGTTCACACACTAAACTGGAACGCTTGACAGGAACATGTCCGGTGTCCGTAATGCTTCCGCAGACTGGAGTTTCTCTTTGGAGTAAAAACCAACCACAACTCAGTCCTTCATTCCCTCACGGAGAAGCTGCACTCCTGAGTTTCTTTTGTAATGATCATTTTTGTTTGTTTGTTTGTTTTTGCCCTCGCGTGCCAAGGTTTACCGGGGTATTTGTAGATAGAGCGTCTCCTGTAGTCACTTCTTTCCTTTGAAAACATTAAAGACTCAAAGTGGTTTGATATGAAAAACATCTTTTTAAGGAAGTGTGTGGAGCTTCGGCCCGAATCGTCGCCACCTGCTCGGAAAAGGACTTTTATTTTGTAAGACCAGAAATATTACGCCTTCCCTTTTCCGGACTCACGGCTGTATAGAGAAACGATATTAGCTGTATTATACGAAGATTATTTCTTCTACTGTCGATAAGAGATTTACAGTTGCAGTTTTGTTGACAACACTCAGGACTCAAAAACGCTCAAACGAAGGCGGTGGTTCAGCGCGAGGAGGACGGATCACGCGCAGCCGCCCGACGTCATTCCACCGTTTACGTGCTTCATTCTGTGTGTGTGTTTGTATATAGCTCATCTAGAACCACGTCCTCACGTCCACTGCACTTCCGGTACACACCCCAACGAGGAATGTGCATGAAGAACTTGATTTTAAAGTGTGTGTTTGTGTGTGTGTTAGCGGTACGACCATGAAGATATGAAGATCATGATCGTTTCTATGGAAGCCTGTTTCCGCCACGGAATAAAAGAATAAAAAAGCAATTGCAACTTTATCTCGCAATTCAGACTTTGCAATTTATATTGCAATTATGATCCTTTTCCTGCAATTCCGGATTTTTCTCCCAATTCTGACTCTTTTTCTCACAATTCATACGTTTCTCGCAATTCTGACTTTTTATTATTTTATTCCGTGGCAGAAACAAGCTTCCACTCATTCCAGATGACTGAAGTAACTGAAAGTGTTTTTGGGATGTTCAAATCCAGCGTTTGCTGTGAAGATCTGCTCACGTGGAATTGTACGAAATGTTGATTTGAACCCCGGTTACGATTATTCCCTGCAAATGTGTTTTAAGGTTTTAGCTGCAGTTTCCCTGTAGAGGATTCTCACGGTACTATTAACACAAGGTTTAGTTTACAGTCCTTCAGTGGCGTCCGCTGAGACTCATCCTCATCGTCCTGCAGATGGGCGGCAGTCTCAGGTGTGTGAAGGGCCGCTCGCCGAGGGAACATCACGCGTGCGTTTGAGGACGCTTCCCTTCATCCTCTCTGACAGAGAGCAGGACTTTGATTATGTCACGTTCATCTCAGCAGGTGTAAACTATGTACAGTAACTGGAGAATTTCTGTTATATTCGAAGGTACATTTTGATACTTTTCTTTTGTTCACCTCTAGACAAGAGTTTGTCGAGTCCAGGCCGGCCGCCGAGCCACATCCGGTTCTTCTTTTCCATACTGCCGTCTGCCATGAAGAAACAAAGCGGCGCTTCTGTGGTTTTGCGGCGGCCTGGACTGGAGGACATCTGAATATTTGCCTGTATTTGACTTTTAATTTTTACGTAGTCTTGGTGAAATTTCATAGAGGAAAAGTGCACTGGAAAAAAAAAAGTCTTAATCGAGTCCAAATGTTGTAGGTGAAAATAGGCCGAACACTAAAATTGAGAAACGAATGAACAAAAAAGATTAATACTGCTGTCTGTTAATGTTCACTGTGTTTTATACAGTACCTAAATTTTTGTTCACTTTGAACATTTTTACGTAACATTTCAAAACGTATTGTGCAAAGAGATGTAATTTTTTTGGAGTACTTGAAATGCATTAATAAAAAGACTGGGTTGAATGGCTGTGAGTCTTCATGTCTGTGTCTTCATCCTCTGAGCTTTTGCTGTCGACGAGGATCTGCAGCGTCTGAACACCTGCTCCTCTGAGGCCTTCAGAAGCGTGACTTCAGCGGAAACACCACAGAACCACATCCTGCACAAAGATCAGACACCACAAACTCCACTCAGTCCTTTCATTAGATCAGACACCACACACTCCACTCAGTCCTTTCACTGATAGATCAGACACCACACACTCCACTCAGTCCTTTCCTTAGATCAGACACCACACACTCCACTCAGTCCTTTCACTGATAGATCAGACACCACACACTCCACTCAGTCCTTTCACTGATAGATCAGACACCACACACTCCACTCAGTCCTTTCACTGATAGATCAGACACCACACACTCCACTCAGTCCTTTCCTTAGATCAGACACCACACACTCCACTCAGTCCTTTCCTTAGATCAGACACCACACACTCCACTCAGTCCTTTCACTGATAGATCAGACACCACACACTCCACTCAGTCCTTTCACTGATAGATCAGACACCACACACTCCACTCAGTCCTTTCATTAGATCAGACACCAATCACTCCACTCAGTCCTTTCACTGATAGATCAGACACCACACACTCCACTCAGTCCTTTCATTAGATCAGACACCAATCACTCCACTCAGTCCTTTCACTGATAGATCAGACACCACACACTCCACTCAGTCCTTTCATTAGATCAGACACCACACACTCCACTCAGTCCTTTCACTGATAGATCAGACACCACACACTCCACTCAGTCCTTTCCTTAGATCAGACACCACACACTCCACTCAGTCCTTTCACTGATAGATCAGACACCACACACTCCACTCAGTCCTTTCACTGATAGATCAGACACCACACACTCCACTCAGTCCTTTCATTAGATCAGACACCAATCACTCCACTCAGTCCTTTCACTGATAGATCAGACACCACACACTCCACTCAGTCCTTTCATTAGATCAGACACCAATCACTCCACTCAGTCCTTTCACTGATAGATCAGACACCACACACTCCACTCAGTCCTTTCATTAGATCAGACACCAATCACTCCACTCAGTCCTTTCACTGATAGATCAGACACCACACACTCCACTCAGTCCTTTCATTAGATCAGACACCAATCACTCCACTCAGTCCTTTCACTGATAGATCAGACACCACACACTCCACTCAGTCCTTTCATTAGATCAGACACCACACACTCCACCCAGTCCTTTCACTGATAGATCAGACACCACACACTCCACTCAGTCCTTTCACTGATAGATCAGACACCACACACTCCACTCAGTCCTATCACTGATAGATCAGACACCACACACTCCACTCAGTCCTTTCACTGATAGATCAGACACCACACACTCCACTCAGTCCTTTCCTTAGATCAGACACCACACACTCCACTCAGTCCTTTCCTTAGATCAGACACCACACAATCCACTCAGTCCTTTCATTAGATCAGACACCACACACTCCACTCAGTCCTTTCATTAGATCAGACACCAATCACTCCACTCAGTCCTTTCACTGATAGATCAGACACCACACACTCCACTCAGTCCTTTCCTTAGATCAGACACCAATCACTCCACTCAGTCCTTTCACTGATAGATCAGACACCACACACTCCACTCAGTCCTTTCCTTAGATCAGACACCACACACTCCACTCAGTCCTTTCCTTAGATCAGACACCACACAATCCACTCAGTCCTTTCACTGATAGATCAGACACCACACACTCCACTCAAGTCCTTTCACTGATAGATCAGACACCACACACTCCACTCAGTCCTTTCATTAGATCAGACACCAATCACTCCACTCAGTCCTTTCACTGATAGATCAGACACCACACACTCCACTCAGTCCTTTCCTTAGATCAGACACCACACACTCCACTCAGTCCTTTCCTTAGATCAGACACCACACAATCCACTCAGTCCTTTCACTGATAGATCAGACACCACACACTCCACTCAGTCCTTTCATTGATAGATCAGACACCACACACTCCACTCAGTCCTTTCATTGATAGATCAGACACCACACACTCCACTCAGTCCTTTCATTGATAGATCAGACACCACACACTCCACTCAGTCCTTTCATTAGATCAGACACCAATCACTCCACTCAGTCCTTTCACTGATAGATCAGACACCACACACTCCACTCAGTCCTTTCCTTAGATCAGACACCACACACTCCACCCAGTCCTTTCACTGATAGATCAGACACCACACACTCCACTCAAGTCCTTTCACTGATAGATCAGACACCACACACTCCACTCAGTCCTTTCATTGATAGATCAGACACCACACACTCCACTCAGTCCTTTCACTGATAGATCAGACACCACACACTCCACTCAGTCCTTTCACTGATAGATCAGACACCACACACTCCACTCAGTCCTTTCCTTAGATCAGACACCACACAATCCACTCAGTCCTTTCACTGATAGATCAGACACCACACACTCCACTCAGTCCTTTCACTGATAGATCAGACACCACACACTCCACTCAGTCCTTTCACTGATAGATCAGACACCACACACTCCACTCAGTCCTTTCACTGATAGATCAGACACCACACACTCCACTCAGTCCTTTCCTTAGATCAGACACCACACACTCCACTCAGTCCTTTCCTTAGATCAGACACCACACAATCCACTCAGTCCTTTCACTGATAGATCAGACACCACACACTCCACTCAGTCCTTTCACTGATAGATCAGACACCACACACTCCACTCAGTCCTTTCACTGATAGATCAGACACCACACACTCCACTCAAGTCCTTTCACTGATAGATCAGACACCACACACTCCACTCAGTCCTTTCATTGATAGATCAGACACCACACACTCCGTTCAGTCCTTTCATTGATAGATCAGACACCACACACTCCACTCAGTCCTTTCACTGATAGATCAGACACCACACACTCCACTCAGTCCTTTCCTTAGATCAGACACCACACACTCCACTCAGTCCTTTCCTTAGATCAGACACCACACACTCCACTCAGTCCTTTCATTAGATCAGACACCACACAATCCACTCAGTCCTTTCACTGATAGATCAGACACCACACACTCCACTCAGTCCTTTCACTGATAGATCAGACACCACACACTCCACTCAGTCCTTTCCTTAGATCAGACACCACACACTCCACTCAGTCCTTTCCTTAGATCAGACACCACACACTCCACTCAGTCCTTTCATTAGATCAGACACCACACAATCCACTCAGTCCTTTCACTGATAGATCAGACACCACACACTCCACTCAAGTCCTTTCACTGATAGATCAGACACAACACACACAAGTCACCTTCATTTATAAAGCACTTTTTAACAGTATGAATTGTTTCAAAGCAGCTTTACAGTTATAATAGAAATTACTGTAATAGATTGCTTAGGCTTTACAACAGCATTATGATAAAGTTATTGTCCAGCTAAAGTTAGTTTTAATTGATTCACTTCTGTTGCAAAGATCATTAGTTATTAACTTAGCTAACACGACACCGTTCTAACAGAAAACTCTTAACGCGCTCCGGCTGGTGCCTGGTGTCTCGAGAACGCACTCCCTGAAATTTGAGGGTGCTAACGATTATCCGTTATCTCTGCGCAAACGCAGACAGTCAGAGTCTCCAAGACAGAAATTCTGAGTTGGAAATTCCTATTAGGAAATTCCTTGTTGGAATTTCCAAGTCGTAATAGACCAGTATCAGATAAACTAGGTTCAGCTCACCTCAAGGAGGAACGGCTAGGTTTAATGAGACACCTCCACAACGTTGTGGCGCCATGTTGTGTTACATGTTACAGTGAAATAAGATGACAGGTATTTACAATATTAACATGTGCACACAGGTAGTATTCAGTTCAAAGTTGTTAATGAGCCAATCGAAGCATTTTCAGAATTTATACGCAATGATCCAAGTGCTCGAAGCCACAACAGTTCAAACACAGCCCACGCAAAGGGCAGAGTCCAGTAATTTAGAAGAAAAGTTCATGAGAGGATCAGTCCATGAGGGCAGTATTAATATGTGTGAGGGTGTGTGAGGGGAGCGGCTGCAGCGCCTCCTACCGCACGGGTGCACTCTTAATATCCGGCTCGAGGCCTAACAGCTCGCCATCCATACATGGAACCTGGCCAGTTCTCATATCATTAAGTCACTCAAACAGCACAGTCTCAACCGAATGGTGGAGGCATCTGCAGCAGCTCAAACAACACCGGCTCTCACACACACCAACCAACAGCGCGCGGCCATATTTAAAGGAAAGTGACGCAAGCTCTGCATCAAATCTCGCGATACTAGCACAAAGTCTCGTGATAACGTGAACATAGTGTGGAGCAGTGAGAAATTGAAATTCGGAAATTCCTAGTTGGAAATTCCTAGTTGGAAATTCCGAGTTGAAAATTCCTAGTCTCCAAGGTGAAAAATTTGAAAATTCTTAAGTCAGAAATTCGGGAATTTCCGAGTTGGAAATTCCTAGTCTCCAAGATGGAAAATTGGAAATTCTTAGTCATAAATTCCAAGTCTGAAATTCCTAGTAGAAAATTCCAAGTCGGAAATTCCGAGTTGAAGATTCCTAGTTAGATCGAAAATTCCTAGTCAGAGTCTCCTATTCAAATAGTTGGAAATTCTTAGTCAGAAATTCTGAATTGGAAATTCCAAGTTGAAAATTCTTAGTCAGAAATTCCTAGCCGGAAAATTCCTAGTTGGAAATTCCTAGTCGGAGTCTCCTAGTCAGAAATTCTGAGTTGGAAATTCTTAGTCAGAAATTCCAAGTTGGAAATTCCTAGTCGGAAATTGGAATTGGAATTTCTGACTAAGAATTTCCGACTGGGAAACATTCTTAAACCAAGATCAATTTAATGGAGATGCAAAATGACATATAAATATCTTTTCAATTTGATAATTTTTTTATTTCGGTAACACTTTAAAATAAGGTCTCATTCTGCTCTGAAATTAAATGAAACTCACTTTTCCTGACTCTCTCCAGATTTAATCCGGATCCTAATCCTAATCGAAAATTCTTAGTCAGTCTCCTATTCAAAAAGTTGGAAATTCTTAGTCATAAATTCTGAATTGGAAATTCCAAGTTGAAAATTCTGTCAGAAATTCCTAGTTGGAAATTCCTAGTCGGAGTCTCCTAGTCGGAAATTCCGAGTTAAAAATTCCTAGTCGAAAATTCCGAGTTGAAAATTCCTAGTCGGATAATTCCGAGTTGAAAATTCCGAGTTGAAAATTCCTAGTCGGAAATTCCGATTTGGAAATTCCTAGTCGGAAATTCCGAGTTGGAAAGTCCTAGTCTGAAATTCCGAGTTGAAAATTCCTAGTCGGAAATTCCGAGTTGGAAATTCCTAGTAGGAAATTCCTAGTCGGAAATTCCGAGTTGAAAATTCCAAGTCGAAAATTCCGAGTTGAAAATTCCTAGTCGAAAATTCCTAGTTGGAAATTCCTAGTCGGAAGTTCCGAGTTGGAAATTCCTAGTCAGAAATTCAGAGTTGGAAATTCCTAGTCGGAAATTCCGAGTTGGAAATATATAGTTAGAATTTCCTAGTCGGAAATTGGAATTGGAATTTCTGACTAGGAAACTCCAACTTGGAATTTCTGACTAATAATTTCCAACTTGGAATTTCCGACTGGGAAACATTCTTAAACCAAGATAAATTTACTGGAGAAGCAAAATACAATAAAAAAATTATCAAATTGAAAAGATATTTATATTTTGGTAACACTTTAAAATAAGGTCTCATTCTCCTCTGAAATTCAATGAAACTCACTTTTCCTGACTCTCTCCAGATTTAATCCGGATCCTCCACACACTGAGTTCCAGGTCCTGATCGGGTCCGTTCCAGCTCATGATGTTCCTGACGCGCCTCAGCCAGTTTGACCAGACCAGCTCTCCCTTCCAGACCAGTCTGATGGACGTCAGGTGACCCAGATCAGCGGCCACCGCAGCCAATGAGGTGAAGGCCTTCGGACTGCTGCTGTCCTGATACCTGCAACACACCAGAGTTCATGATCTCAGACACACACATACACACAACATTAAATATTAAAACAACAGAGATTTGATCATAGAACTAAAGCTTTAAATATGATCTTACTAAGACATGTTATTGGCAGATCTTGATATTTATTTGCATTGTATGTGTCTGTTATACTGTTATAAAGATCTCATTGATTACATTACAAGCATTAGAATTTCATCTTATTGTCCATATAAATATCAGCATCTGCAGAAAACGGAATATTTTTGCTCAGTTTAAGTCTCTGAATAAAACGGAACTGATTTTTTTCTCCTAATGTTTGCCTGATGTATCAAATATGATGCAAAACATAAAACACATATGCATACTTATTTTGGGGGATTTTCTTTTAAATTTTGTCTAAAGCTTCAATAAACTGCTCCATTTCCCCCCCATCCTATTATCTCCCGGGTCAGATGTGTAGATGTGCGCAGGCTCTCCAGTAGTGTTGTGGACTCACAGGCTGAGGGGAAGGTCTCGGGCCAGGCCCCGGGTCCCGTTGAGCGACACCAACAGCGAGGTCTCGACCGGCTCCATCAGGTTCGTCAGCTGGACTCGGATCTGGTAGTGAAACACTGAGGGAGAGTGAAGAGAGTGTGTGTTCGCTCTATATAAACACCTTCTCCTTTAACCTCCCCTGCAGTTTTATCCAGACGCTCGTCTAGACTCAAACCTGGGCCTCCATTACCAGTGCATTAACTGACCTTTATATGGAGCTTCAGGGCCGGTTTTGAGGTATAGGCCTTTAGCGTTCCTCCCCGCGCGCTCGTGCCGCACATCGTAGCCTAGCGTGTTGCAGCGCATCTGTTTGCAGTCCAGACACAGGCCTTTGTTGAAGGTGCTGTCGTCACGGCAACGGTAGCCTATTATGGACTGGCTGGCGTTGATCAAGGAGTCGGTGAAGAGTTTTACTGCGCGCTCGTGGGCACATTTAATGGTCTTAGGAACACCTACAAAAACACCATGAGTCATTATAATAACAGTCTAGTCTAGAGTACAATATGCACTTTTAAAATAGTATGTGAAACACTGCTTTATTCAGTATGCTACATGATGCCGATAGGGATTTCTCACACAGAATGAGTCTGTCCCATGTTGAATCATTGGGTTTATGTAAATATGACTAGATGGATGAATTTGGCCATTGAAGTGTTTGAGTTTGGGTGTATATATTTTCATATATATTAGGAAGTGAATCAATCAAAACTAACTTTAGCTGGACAATAACTTTATTCTAGAGCTGCTGTAAAGCCTAAACACTCTCTGTTACTGTAATCTCCTGTTATCTCTGTAAAGCTGCTGTGAAACAATCTACATTGTTAAAAGCACTATATAAATGAAGGTGACTTCACTTGACTTAATTTTAATTATTAATTGTAATTTAGATTTTTTTGCATTTGAAGCTTGTCACCAAGACACATTCCTTGTGTAATTCCAAATTGGCAATATCTCGAAGCCCCTGAGGACAAGAACACAGTTCGAACGGCCCCTTATGTTGCATGTTCGATTCATCACCTATACCAGTCCGTTCAGCAATATTTCCCCACGCGTGTCGGGTTCGGTACCTTGCAGGCCGTACTGGAAGACGTTACTGTAGATGTCGAGCATCTTGCACCCGGGCTGAGAGGATCCTCCGTTGGGATAGAAGTCCACGTGCGCGACGCTCTGCTTGATTCCCACTCCCGGCATGATGCTGGATGTGGTGAAGGTGTGGATGGCGTCCACAAACTGAGCGTCGTCCGGAGACAGTCTGTCGAACGCCGGCAAACCTTCGAAGTGCGGCCCGGCCGGATCCAGACCTGCGTCACACAACACACATCAGTGTGTACTCGACTAATGCTCTTCAAGACCAGCTGTGATGTTGGCTGGAGAAAGCCTGACTAGAACGTTTGAAGAAGTTTTAAAAGCTTGAAGTTTGAAAGTTTTGACGGCAATACAGATCGTTGCTAGCATGTTTCTAGCATGAATAAGTACATTGCTAACATGATTAAGCATGTTGCTAACATGGTTTAGAACATTGCTAAACAGTTTCTAGCATGATTTAGCACATTGCTTGCTAATGTGTTGTTAGCATGATTTAACACATTGCTAGCATGTTTTAACCCTAAGAGTATCCGTAAAGACCGTAAAGAGTATCAGAAAATACATTTATTGCTATTAAATTCCTACTTATTAGGACACAAATAATACAATTTTATGATTTAAAAAAACCCCCGCTTATTTAACACTTATTAAACACGTTATTTTAACGCTTGTATCCCCAGGATACGTCACTCCTTTGGGGGTATAAATTCAGTGAAAACAGAATGCTTGTTTGGCAATGCTTGTTACAACATGTTAGCCATTCTCTCATAACTTAAAGTAAACATTCTTTGTAAAATTCTGTTGGACAATAAGTATAATCCTATTTATATACACGTCTTGTTTCTGCCTCCCAGTTGCGTGCGCAAGCAGTGATGACGTTGCTGAGAAATCCATGTATACTTTAGCATGTTGCTAGCATAATTGGCAGTTTTAAGAACCGTCATTTTTAGGAAACCGGGTAAGTCGGATTAGCTAGTAAATATAGAGCAGACTGAAGGTCTCAAGTTTGGTGTTTGTAGTTTGAAAGCCCAGGAGGAGTAAAGCCTGAAGTACACTTTGTTTTTTACTCGTATGCTAGAGCATACAGTCGAACGGGTAGCCTTGCAGAGTATACTCCATTTGATAGCATGCACAAACACAGAAATGTTTCATCTTTATCTCCAGAGGTCATGACCGATAAAACATGTCTGTGTATTCTTTTAAACAAGCGCTTGTCAATGGCTTTCTCAAGCTAACATAATGAGCGTCAGATTAGGATGTTTAGCTCTTTAATAGGTCTTTATTATCTTTATAGACTGGAACAGCAGCAAATGTGATTTCAGTGTTTCAGTGTGGCTGATTTAACAGTTTTCATCAGAAGTTGGTGGAGAACGCGGGCTCTTTCTGAATGGGAAGTTTCAGACTGGGTGATGTTAAAGGTGAACTATGCAGGTTTTTTACCTCAACCGAACAGCTTCGGAGTCATTGGAATGGTTATATTACTCTTTTCGGGTTGAATGGTGGTCGTTTCGCACCACCCTATCGCATGTGAGCGGAAAAAACACACTTGCAACTTTGAGCCGCCGGGCCGCCGGCCGCAGCATCAGGAAGTGTCGTGTGATATCAGGTCTCGCGATGTAACGAATTGCTTTACGGCAAAAAGATCTGATAAAATTCTGATAAAATAAGCATCAAACAGAAATAACCCGGCGCCGTATACATGTGGTGTTCGAGGCGCACATACAATACAGACTGCCGACAGTTAAACAGGGCGCGCGCAGCTCTTAAAGGGGCCACACCTTATTTCCACTCGTTACAGCGTCCATCCTACTGAACAGGTACCGGTGTACAGGGGAGGGGATCCGGCCGTGAGTGCGAGCCATCTCTGCGTGAGTGCTATTCACGACAGTACAAGTACTCCACAGCGACTCTAGGGGTCGCTGTTTGACAAAAACGGAATTCCTGCATAGTTCACCTTTAAGAACTTCTCTTGTTCATTCTACTGATCACGCTAGTAGATCGTCCTGTTAACATGACCAGTGGTCAGACGATGGTCCTACACTCCACTGACTCTGATAATCCTGTCTGATGTGTGTGTTTGCCTTCTTCATACCAGTAATGCGTCCCACTTTCCTGCGTCCTCTGAAATGGCTTCCCGCAAACCCAGCCACATGCGCTCCCAGGCTGTAGCCAATCAGATGGACTCGATCCAGAGAGAGATTACCAGCTTCCTGTCCAGAGAGGAAGTGGCGTCAGGACTCAAACACTTACTGATGCACAAACAGTATAGAACCTCAAACACACAAAGCTTTTTATATTTTAATAAAAAAATCACCATGAAGTTCTTCTTTTTCATGGAATATTGCAGTGTTTATTGTAAATGATTTATCGGTGCACATAATGAATGTGTTAATAATGTTGAATCAGAATCAGTTCCTCTTGCAGCATCTCTTCTCTTCTCTGATGATGTGGGCGGGGCTATAACCTGTCACTCACATGAGCTCAGCCAAAAGCTAACCACACCCATCCAATCAGTTCCCCATAGACACAATCAAGCCCCGCCCACATTTGCTCTTGTTCCAGAAGCGTTTCATTGGGAAATGATATTTGTTGTAGTTTCCGTTCACCACGCGAATGAAACGTTTCCGAAACCTTTGAACCACCAGCATGTTTAGGTTTCTATATATTTTAAATGCGGTTTCATTCCCAGAATGTTTCCATTAAAGATGGTCATTACCTCCAGCCATTGGAGCAGCGCGGCCACGTCCCGGCCCACCTGTCTGCTGTTCTTGGCTGCGATTGGGTACGGCTGAAGGGCCAGAATCCTCCAATCACTGATGAGCACGTTGACCTGCTCGAGCCGGACCTTCAGCGCAGACGCCAGATTGAAGATCCACTGCTCCATGAGTCCGTTCATCTGAGCAGAAGAGCACATCAATAATCATCATCAACCTTATCTTATAGAGCGCCTTTAAAAGCAGCTTCTCAAAGCGCTGTACACAAAATAACCAGTACATAGAACAAGAAATAAAAAACAATGTAAACATCAACAAGCAAATGCTTGTTTAAAAAATGTCTTGAGTTGAGCTTCAAAAATGTCTGAGCTTCTCTAAATTCAAGAGAAAGAGAGTTTCCAAGAGTAGGAAAAGCCCTGTTCCCCACAGATCCAAAGCGGTTTGTGGAGCAGAACTCAACAAGTTAGACTGAGGAGAGCAGTCTGTGTTTGGGCTCAACAGTGTGGATAAATAATGGAGAGCTGAGCCATGATGTAATGCTTTGTAATGTATGTCAGCATTGTAATTTAAAAATCGACACGAAACCTAACAAGTGCAAGGACGCCAAACCAGGAGAGATGTGATCGCAGGTCCTGGTCCCACACAGGCCCAGAGCTTTGGACATATCGGAGATTATTGAGTGTGAATTTAGAAACTCCGGATAAAAGCGTGTTACAGTAATCTATACGAGAGACAACGAATGAGTCTAGCAGCTTTTCAGTAACAGAGAAATTTAGCATAGGGCGCAATCTTGCGATATTTCTGAGGTGATAAAGTGATGCTTTAACAATGCTCAGTACAAAATAATCAAAGGTAAGACTGACATCAAAAATAATAATAATAATAATTCATCACATTTATATAGCGCTTTTCTGGACACTCAAAGCGCTTCACATGGAAGGGGGAATCTCCTCAACCACCACCAATGTGCAGCATCCACCTGGGTTAGGGTTAGACGCCCACCACACACCAGCTTACTGGTGGAGAGGAGACAGAGTGATGAAGCCAATCAGTGTATATATATATATGGGGATGATAAGGAGGCCATGATGGACAGAGGCCACTGGGCAAATTTGGCCAGGATGCCGGGGTTACACCCCTACTCTTTCGAAAGACATCCTGGGATTTTTTGTGACCACAGAGAGTCAGGACCTCGGTTTAACGTCTCATCCGAAGGACGGGTTCCTCGACTCCAAGGTTCCTCATTTTTCTGTGAGTCTCCAAAAGAAACATGATAAATCAAAGTCTTTGTTTAAACCCAAAGAAAATATAGTCTTTAAATGAATCCAAAACGCCTCTCGCTGTAAAAGTTTTCTATCAATGTTTCAGCCACGGCGAAAATCAATCTTTCTCAATACCTATGCATTTGAGATGTTCAATGTTGTGATCATGATCAATAAAATATCTGAAGTGACATCGTGTCTTTGAACAGCTGATCTATGTTCCATTTCTAATCCTCAGTGACCTCGATGTTTTTCCGTCGAACATCGGCATTGAAGTGCATAGATTGTATTTTTTGTAGAGCATGTTATACAAGATTTAATATAATATATTTTTGTGTGGAAAAGCATGTAAAGTTTTTACATTCTGATATAGAAGAACATGATGTACAGTTTCAACATGGAAAACAACCTTTTTAGTCGTCACGCACACATCTGATCTCTGAGCATATTTGCCACATTTTGGAAAAAAGTCAAATAAAAACTGAGATTCAAATTATTAAATAACGATCAAAGAAAACAAAAACAACCATTTTCAGTAAAACATATTCTGACATGTACGAAAAATAGTCACCAAATCAAATAAAAAAAAAATGTTTTTGTTTTTTGTTTAAAAAAACTTTTGAAAACATCTCTAAGGGAAGGGTCCGAAGCTAAAATAAAGCAATATTTATTCACAATGTATTTGATTTGGTGACTATTTTTCGTACATGTCAGAATATGTTTTACTGAAAATGGTTGTTTTTGTTTTCTTTGATCGTTATTTAATAATTTAGAGTCTCTCATATTTTTTTTTTCACTGTTTCAAGTGCTGATTGAAACCAATCCTCTTGAACTCAATTGACTTTGGAGGGTTTCAGAGAGTTTATCGAAGTCCTCCTCTGAGTCGCAAATACGTCTAAGTCTATGAACTTTTGCAGAGGTAGTGATGACTGTCAGCAGAAACAACCCTTAATGTATCTACCCCAGTACTTGAATTAACGTCCAAAAGGGTTATTATTATAAAGTCCAAATCATATTTACCCATGGACAAATGAGCATAACTTGGTTCCAGAAGTGTGTTTTGATTGGAACAAGTGTTACAGCAGCAATCTTTACTGGAACAACCCCAGTCTGCAATGAATCATTATAATACTGAGGACAGTAGGGCTCAAAACACAATATTTAAATAAGTTTGTGGGAATAGAATCAAGCAAGCTGTGGATTTCATGCTAGATGCGTCCCTTGAGAGAGCCTGAGAATCAAGCGTTGAGAAATGAGAGAAAGAAACACCAGCAAACCCAGATGGACGAAAGAGTAAAGCCATGTTCAAAGCATTAGCGATTTTAGATTAAAAACAAAAAGGAAACAAATAGTTGTTGAGGAATAGACAAGAAGGTAACAGCATTAACTTGAAGCAAGTGTCTGGGATTTCCTTGATTGTTTACAAGAGTCAGAGATATAATATGATTTTTCAGTCTCAATTAATGCTCTGTAGTCGCCCAGAATATTCCTCCAAGCTTGATAATAGACCCAGTCAGACGCCATTTACGCTCCATTTGTCGCTATACGGAGGAGCAGAGCGGGCGAAAGTGAGCTAGCGTGACCTTAGGGGTCTGGATTAGAGCTTTTATCCAGGACTTTCTCCTTGAATCCTCCCTTCCCTCCGTCAGAGGAACTGCATGTTTGTTGACACATGAACCGAGTCGAACCTCAGCGATACTCCGCGTTCACAGGCGGTAAACAGAGGGTTAGTGGGGAGATAGATTTCTACATCATCAACAGTACGTTCTAAGAACATTCCCGTTAAAGTCTGGAAATGTTACTTCTGAATGTTTTCTGAACGGTCAAAACATCCCGTTTCTTAAATGTTTTAGAAGTTTTTTCTTGGTTGTGAATGTTGAGGAAACATTCCACTCTTCAAACATTATGGGAACGTTACTTTTGAATGTGTTCTGAAACTAGTAACACTTAACGACTAAACGTTCGTAACCAACTAAACGTTTAAAATAAATAAATAATTTGTTTGTGCTAATGTTTTGAGAACATTACCCAGCAAGCACTTTTGCATTGAAAAGACGTCTACTAGCCGTCCAAACACAGCCCTGAGTCTAGGCTAAAACAGGGCCAAATCTGGGCTGTCAGGGAACATGTAATAGACAATAACACAAGAATAGACTCGTCATCGACGCATAGAACATGCCAAAGACATGAAACCAAACACCTTGTAATCACTGTTGACTGCTTACATGATGGAATATCGTACATCTCGCACTAAACTCAAGGATGTTTTTGCCTGAAGTGTTACTCATATAGCCGGACTGTATCGGGTCTATAGTTACCGAGACGGTGAAATGACGGCTATAGCTTGGGTATAGAAGACCAGATAACTGCGAATGAACATTATATTGATGTTACTGTAAGCCTTGCGAGGGTCGCTCGCTGGGACTGGACTGCAGCCGGGTTCTGCAGGAGAACCTCTCTGATGATGTGTCTGTGTGGCGGCGTACCGTCCAGCCGTGTATGATCAGCACCAGAGGAAGGCTTGCGTTGTATCCGCACCTCTGGAGGCTTTCGGGGCGGAACGGGACCAGGGCGCAGGTCTCCTCGAACACCGAGCCCTCGGCATACAGATGGAAGCCGGACTTCAGCAGCGTCTTCCCTGGAGTCTGCCCTGGAGTCTCTGGAAACAGAGCCAGATGTGGAACTCAGAGCATGAAACTGCGGCTTTCAACTCTTTCCATGGCAAGCCTTCAAACAGCCTCTCTGAGAACATGCAATTACAGACTGAAGTTCACTGTGTCAGACTAAACTAAGAGCCGCGAGTGCCGGCCTGTGGTTCAGGACTCGAGATCTGCTTACCTGTGATGTTTGAATCTCCTCTCACAGACCCGGTGAAAACACACACGAGGAATACAGCGCTCAGGACTCTCATGATCAACAGCTTCTGCTCTTCTGCGGGAGTCTGGAGAAATGCTCAAGGTGTGTGAGAGCGAGAGACGAGAGTGTGTGTGTGTGAGAGACGGTTAGAGAGAGAGTGTGTGAGAGAGCGAGAGACGGTTAGAGAGAGAGAGTGTGTGAGAGACGGATAGAGAGAGAGTGTGTGAGAGAGCGAGAGACGGTTAGAGAGTGTGTGTGTGTGAGAGACGAATAGAGAGAGAGTGTGTGAGAGAGCGAGAGACGGTTAGAGAGTGAGTGTGTGTGAGAGACGGTGGGCGGGGCCTGAGTGACTCATGGGAAACCCTTCTCCGCTCTGATTGGCTGCTGTTCTGCCTCTGTTGGAGGAAAGGGAAGGACAGGGTTAATGCGTTCCTGTCGGCGCTCGTCCTCTTCGGCTGGTTGTGGTTCATGAATGCTCTGGAATACAGACCTCGTTTTAGAGAAGACAGCAGAACATTGCGGAAGTGGAAGCAGCTTAAAAATATGAAAGTGTTAAAAGGTTTGATAAGTTTACTGTAAAGCAAATGTACTGAATGAAAAAAAGTTTATTCTACACAATATATATATTTTGCAAAATAATTTGGACAAGGCTATTAAATCAAAGCCGTATGTGTTCCAAATCTGAAGTTGGTATCATAATTTGAGCCCCTAAAATGTTTTAAAGTTTGTATCAAAACGGTTTTCACAGGATGAATTTTGAGTGTTTAATGATAAGTACTAAAATATGTGATAGATAAGGGGAAGAAGAAAAATAAAAAAGCACATCAAGCGACAGGTTATTTGGACAGAGAAAAAGACAAGATGTTATCAAGATTGGCTTGATCTCTGTTGTAACCTGTTGAAACATTTCATCTGCATCAAGGTTATTAAAGTTAACTCCAACCCCAACCAAAACTGAAACCATGAACTCAAGAAAAGAAGAAAAATTAAACTACACATTACAAATGGAATGTTAAAAAGTAACATAAGAACTAAAACTAAACTGCAACTATCATTCATTGCTTCAGAATGAACTAAAACCATGAAATAGTTTCAGACTTGGTTTTTAATAGTTCGTTCTAGAGTTGGTGAAGGACTGGCACTGGGGCGCTGTGATTGGCCACGGCTCCAGGCGGAGGCGGGCCTTCTGTGAGATACACCAACAGGGAATAGGTATGTTTAATTTAAAGAACATTATACAGAATTGTCAAGTAACTTGCATGTGTTAACTGAAAAAGAAAGTAAAATATATTGATAGACTAGAATAAGAAACGGAAGTGAAGGTGCTGAGGTCTTCATCGGTCGTTCACAGACACACAAACGCGGACCCGTGTGCTCTACACCTTTCTTCTTTATTTCAGCAAAACACAAATACACAGTCCATGTCGTAGGATTTCATTACAAAAGATCTTCATCTACTTTTTACCAAGACTTTCAAAACCAAGAAGCCTGATCTACAAACACATGAACAATAATCAATCATAAACATAAATAATGTAGAAAGTATATGAATGACAATAAGGTGGAATACAACTTTAGCATGAAAACTCAACAATCGTGATCTAGTGGAAAACTTGTGCACTTTTACTCGCGTGTTCATCGGGATGTTTGTGACAGTCTGATGCTTGTGTTTGCTGATCTGGACAGATTTAGTTTCGGTGCATCTGTCATTTTCAAGAGTTTAAAAAGCCATTTAAATTATTATTGTGGATTCAGTACAATATTATCATCAATAGCAACATAAAATCACACATTCTGTACAGTGGAGGATTATGGGGCAACGTTATACCGCAACAACAACAATACCTCAGTGTTTCTGTCTTGTTTTCCAGCTCAAGTATCTTTTCAAATCAAGATTTAATTACTGGATAAGTAAAATGACTGCAGATATTAAGTCTTGCTTTCTGAATTAAAATGAAGTGAGTTTGTGCTTAAAACAAGAACTAATATCTGTCAATGGAGTCAGAAAAATAAACTTAATTCAACGGGAAAACCAGGTGATTTTTCTGACTCCATTGGCAGATATTAGTTCTTGTTTTAAGCACAAACTCACTTCATTTTCATTCAGAAAGCAAGACTTAATATCTTCAGTCATTTTACTATTCCAGTAAATGTGTCTTGATGTAAGAATTTTCCATGGGAAAATAAAGACAGAAACACTGAGGAAGAGCATCATGTTTTTCAGTGTACAGACGTGACGCTTGTATGCTGTTAAAAACCAGATCATTATTAGAGCTGTACAGAGTCTGAATGAAGTGGAACTATTTTAACCGGCGGATGAACGTCTGCTGGTGGAGTTTACTCACGAAAACAGTATGAAAATGACCAGCTTTATTGTGTTCTAGCTCATGTTGATCATCTCGTATTTGTCCTTCAGGCTGCTGTCCTCGTCTTCCTCCTCATCCTCCTCTTCCTCGGGTTCTTCGAGAGGTTTGTCAGTGTGTTTGGGGTGATGAAGCTCGATCAACAGAAAGTAGATCACAGCGCCGACGACCCCCCCCACCATCGGCCCGGCAACAGGGATCCACCACCAGTTATCTGCAGTGCTGCACACACACACACACACACACACACAACCATCACAATATATCACATGTGATTCTGCAGCATTTTTACACTCACAGATAAGCAGCGCTCATTCATTTCATCAACCATCAGAACTACATTTGACGTATCCTCACTGGTTAAAAAGGGTTATAAATCATGTTTCCATTTAAGCCTAGTGTTTTGCACGGGTTTCTGTGAGGGTTAGACTCAATAATAAATAGATTCAATAGGATTCTATGAGATAAACCTAGTAATATAGTCAAACAAATGTGTGTGTGTGTGTGTGTGTGTGTGTGTGTGTGTGTGTGTGTGTGTGTGTGTGTGTGTGTGTGTGTGTGTGTGTGTGTGTGTGTGTGTGTGTGTGTGTGTGTGTGTGTGTGTGTGTGTGTGTGTGTGTGTGAGATAATGTGATTCTGCATCCAGTCACATCTAAAGCTCTTGAGTGCATGTGTTATTATGTAATGAACTGATCAATAGGGCTGTGACTGAGGGAGTTATTCGACACGTGACAGCACTGGTAATACTGGTGTACCGGGCGTTGGAGTTTTCCCCTCTTTTGCACCTCACATTTAAATAGCTAATTCAAAAGCGAAAGTAAAATGCACACAGGTATTCATAACGGTGCGGAGCAGAGCGAGCGTTTTCAGTGAATCCCCATGGAAGTTGAGAACACACACACACACACACACACACACACACACACACACACACACACTCGCTCTGCCATAGACACACACCGTTATGAATGCCTGTGTGCATTTTACTTTCGCTTTTGAAATAGCGCTGGGGGCAGCAATTGCTTGAATGGTGGGTTCATTATTATTCTGAATGAAAAACACAACAAAACAGTGCACTGAACAACTCGCTTAAAGGGGTCATATAATGGCACATGCACTTTTACAAGTTGATTGTACTGAAATGTGTGTTGGCAGTGCCTGTACACAACCATCATATAATGATAAAAATCCATCCAGTGGTTTTGTTTTAATCTCCTTATATGTTTTCCCCTGCCTCAAATCGAGCCGTTCGACCGTGTGACGTCACATGCTCGGAAGCCCCTCCCACGAGTGTTGATTGACAGGAGCGTTTCAACACAGACCCGCCCTCGCTCGTGAGAGCTGTCAATCATAGTCAGCGCGGACCGGCGCGGTCATTGTTGATATGCTGGAGCACTGTCTATGAGCAGAATGGCTCTAAGCGATTGTGGTGTTCTGTTCTTGGGTGTAATAACGAACACAGTCATTTTAATGTTCCTAAATCCGAACCGCTGAAGACGCAGTGGCTGAGTTTGTTTTCGAAGGGAATATTCCCCACGAGCAACGTCAATGCTCTCATGTTTGCGTGAATCATTTCTCACCAGACTGCTTTATAAACGAGGGTCAGTATAAAGCTGGTTTTGCTAAGCTGCTGCTCCTGAATAAAGAATCGGTACCAGCTATTCGTGTTCCTGCTGAACCTCTAGAAGAACTGAAGTGAGTGTAACGTTTTATTAAACTTTATATTAATATATTAATCTTTGCAAATCGCTAGCTGCACGCTTCACAATGAATGAGTCTGAGGTTTACACTCAGGGTACATTACGGCATGTTTTCTATGTATGATGTTTTCTTACAATACTAATGAGAATTTTTAATTAAAGTATATTACAAACTTTTAATTTAGACCCTAAAGAATCATATTAGCTTGTACAAAAATGGCATTATATGACCCCTTTAAATATGTGCTTTTCCATTTCGCTCTGAAACCAAATCTTCCGCCATCGTCAGTCAGTGAATATAGTGAGGTGAGATCTGACTCCGGCTGCGACTATCGTTCGGCTCACGCTGAATTAAGCAGACACGGTCAGTTTTTAACTGTAGTGTCTGTTCTCTAACTCAACTCAATTATTTTTATTACTATAACAAATCAAAACGATGATGAGGCCGGAGATGTAACCGGTGATGCTAATGAACACGACTATAGCGGCAAGCCTACTGACCAATCAAGATTTGTGTGTGTGTGTGAGAGAGTGTGCAAGTGTGTGTGTGTGTGTGTGTGTGTGAGTGAGAGTGTGCAAGTGTGTGTGTGTGTGTGTGTACATTAATTAGACCGTTAGAGCTCATTAACTCCAGCACATGATAAGAACAAACACTGACGCTGTGACTGAAACTCAACATGTCTAACTCTAACATGTAAAGCTCCAGACGCTGATGTAAACCTCTGAGCAGCATTAACCAGTGTGTGTAACCAGCGTGTGTAACCAGCGTGTGTAACCAGTGTGTGTAACCAGTGTGTGTAACCAGTGTGTGTAACCAGCGTGTGTAACCAGTGTGTGTAACCAGCGTGTGTAACCAGTGTGTGTAACCAGCGTGTGTAACCAGCGTGTGTAACCAGTGTGTGTAACCAGTGTGTGTAACCAGCGTGTGTAACCAGTGTGTGTAACCAGTGTGTGTAACCAGCGTGTGTAACCAGCGTGTGTAACCAGCGTGTGTAACCAGCGTGTGTAACCAGCGTCTGTAACCAGCGTGTGTAACCAGCGTGTGTAACCAGCGTGTGTAACCAGTCAGTGTAACCAGCGTGTGTAACCAGCGTGTGTAACCAGCGTGTGTAACCAGCGTGTGTAACCAGTCAGTGTAACCAGCGTGTGTAACCAGCGTGTGTAACCAGCGTGTGTAACCAGTCAGTGTAACCAGCGTGTGTAACCAGCGTGTGTAACCAGCGTGTGTAACCAGTCAGTGTAACCAGTGTGTGTAACCAGTGTGTGTAACCAGTGTGTGTAACCAGCGTGTGTAACCAGCGTGTGTAACCAGCGTGTGTAACCAGTGTGTGTAACCAGCGTGTGTAACCAGCGTGTGTAACCAGTGTGTGTAACCAGCGTGTGTAACCAGCGTGTGTAACCAGTCAGTGTAACCAGCGTGTGTAACCAGCGTGTGTAACCAGCGTGTGTAACCAGTCAGTGTAACCAGTGTGTGTAACCAGTGTGTGTAACCAGTGTGTGTAACCAGCGTGTGTAACCAGCGTGTGTAACCAGCGTGTGTAACCAGTGTGTGTAACCAGCGTGTGTAACCAGCGTGTGTAACCAGTGTATGTAACCAGCGTGTGTAACCAGCGTGTGTAACCAGCGTGTGTAACCAGTCAATGTAACCAGCGTGTGTAACCAGCGTGTGTAACCAGCGTGTGTAACCAGCGTGTGTAACCAGTGTGTGTAACCAGCGTGTGTAACCAGTCAGTGTAACCAGCGTGTGTAACCAGCGTGTGTAACCAGCGTGTGTAACCAGCGTGTGTAACCAGTGTGTGTAACCAGTCAGTGTAACCAGTGTGTGTAACCAGCGTGTGTAACCAGTGTGTGTAACCAGTGTGTGTAACCAGTGTGTGTAACCAGTGTGTGTAACCAGTGTGTGTAACCAGTGTGTGTAACCAGCGTGTGTAACCAGCGTGTGTAACCAGTGTGTGTAACCAGTCAAGTCAAGTCATCTTCATTTATACAGCGCTTTAACAATCTAGAGTTTCACAGCAGCTTTACAGTGATAACAGGAGATTACAGTAACAGAGAGTGTTTAGGCTTTACAGCAGCTCTAGAATAAAGTTATTGTCCAGATAAAGTTAGTTTTGATTGATTCACTTCCGTTGTAAAGATCATTAGTGATTAACTTAGGGGCCGCTAACACGACACCGCTCTAACAGAAAACCCTTAATGCGATCCGGCCGCTCATCCGTACAAAGCAGTGCCTGGCGGCTCGAGAACGCAAACCATGAAACAGGTTCCAAGGTTGAAAAATGCATAAAAATACATCATTTGTTATCGCTTCGGCGTAGCCACGCGAACCGGAACTATCCCGACAGCGATTATCTGTACAGAGGAGAAGGAGGAGGCCTTCACAGGGAGAGACCAGTGACACTTCAGGACTGCGGTGTCGTCGCATCCAGGCACAGGTTCTTCATCAGATCTGGAGTGTGTGTGTGTGTGTGTGTGTGTGTGTGTAGCATGTACAGAGTGAGTGTGTGTGTGTAGCATGTACAGAGTGAACAGCAGCGGTCCTAGTACTGAGCCTTGTGGTACGCCATACTGAACTTGTGATCGATAAGACATCTCTTCATTTACTGCTACAAACTGATCAGTCTGTGTAACCATTGTGTGTAACCAGTGTGTGTAACCAGTGTGTGTAACCAGTCTGTGTAACCAGTCTTTGTAACCAGTGTGTGTAACCAATCTGTGTAACCAGCGTGTGTAACCAGTGTGTGTAACCAGTGTGTGTAACCAGTCAGTGTAACCAGTCTGTGTAACCAGTCTGTGTAACCAGTGTGTGTGTGTGTGTGTGTGTGTGTGTAAATCAATTGTGTGTAACCAGTGTGTGTAACCAGTGTGTGTAACCAGTCTGTGTAACCAGTCTTTGTAACCAGTCTTTGTAACCAATCTGTGTAACCAGCGTGTGTAACAAGTCTGTTTAACCAGTGTGTGTAATCAGTCAGTGTAACCAGTGTGTGTAACCAGTGTGTGTAACCAGTGTGTGTAACCAGTGTATGTAACAAGTCTGTGTAACCAGTCTGTGTAACAAGTCTGTGTAACCAGTCTGTGTAACCAGTCTGTGTAACCAGTGTGTGTGTGTGTGTGTGTGTGTGTGTGTGTGTGTGTGTGTGTGTGTGTGTGTGTGTGTGTGTAAATCCATTGTGTGTAACCAGTGTGTGTAACCAGTGTGGGTAACCAGTGTGTGTAACCAGTGTGTGTAACAAGTCTGTGTAACAAGTCTGTGTAACCAGTCTGTGTAACCAGTCTGTGTAACCAGTGTGTGTGTGTGTGTGTGTGTGTGTGTGTGTGTGTGTGTGTGTGTGTAAATCCATTGTGTGTAACCAGTGTGTGTAACCAGTCTGTGTAACCAGTGTGTGTAACCAATCTGTGTAACCAGTCTTTGTAACCAGTGTGTGTAACCAATCTGTGTAACCAGCGTGTGTAACAACTCTGTTTAACCAGTGTGTGTAATCAGTCAGTGTAACCAGTGTGTGTAACCAGTGTGTGTAACCAGTGTGTGTAACCAGTGTATGTAACAAGTCTGTGTAACCAGTGTGTGTAACCAGTCTGTGTAACCAGTGTGTGTAACTAGTGTATGTAACAAGTCTGTGTAACCAGTCTGTGTAACCAGTCTGTGTAACCAGTCTGTGTAACCAGTGTGTGTGTGTGTGTGTGTGTGTAAATCCATTGTGTGTAACCAGTGTGTGTAACCAGTGTGGGTAACCAGTGTGTGTAACCAGTGTGTGTAACAAGTCTGTGTAACAAGTCTGTGTAACAAGTCTGTGTAACCAGTGTGTGTGTGTGTGTGTAAATCCATTGTGTGTAACCAGTGTGTGTAACCAGTCTGTGTAACCAGTGTGTGTAACCAATCTGTGTAACCAGTCTTTGTAACCAGTGTGTGTAACCAATCTGTGTAACCAGCGTGTGTAACAACTCTGTTTAACCAGTGTGTGTAACCAGTGTGTGTAACCAGTCTGTGTAACCAGTGTGTGTAACCAATCTGTGTAACCAGTCTTTGTAACCAGTGTGTGTAACCAATCAGTGTAACCAGCGTGTGTAACAACTCTGTTTAACCAGTGTGTGTAATCAGTCAGTGTAACCAGTGTGTGTAACCAGTCTGTGTAACCAGTGTATGTAACCAGCGTGTGTAACAACTCTGTTTAACCAGTGTGTGTAATCAGTCAGTGTAACCAGTGTGTGTAACCAGTGTGTGTAACCAGTCTGTGTAACCAGTCTGTGTAACCAGTGTGTGTAACCAGTGTGTGTAACCAGTGTGTGTAAAGTCATTCAGAAGTGTGTGTGCAGTTACGCACCTGAACACCTCCATCCCCCACCCGGCCACTGCAGTGAAGAGTCTCGGGCCGAGGTCTCGCGCGGGGTTCAGGGGGTATCCGCAGTTCAGGCCCATCGACACACTGATGCCCAGCAGGATCAGGCCCACGGCCAGCGGCTCCACGCCTCTAGGGGCGCCGATGTTCCTCCCGTCCACGATGGCCAGAATACAGAGAACCAGCATTCCCGTTCCCACCACCTGACAGATGGAGCTCAGGTCAGTCACGCCAGCCGGAGACAAGTTTACGAAACACTTGTTAATAAGAAGGATCTGAATCAGGTCACCGGTTCAAACCGGATTGGTGTGTTTTTGGGTATAAACGATGAGCTGATCGATGGGGTCTTGTTTACTCGGTCTGCGGTCAGTCTGTGCCGTCAAACACTCACTGAATGTGTTGATTCAGACCCGGACTGGGTTCAGACTGACCTGATCCACGAATCCGCCCAGGACGGTCAGGTGTCTCCCCGGATATGACGCGAAGATGTGTCCTGTGGCGTTGATCCCCGTCACCGAGAGGATCCCGCTGGTGAACTCCATGAAGGCATCTGGGGCCGGTTGCATAAACATAGCCATTACGTTAAGACAGTGTCTTAAGTTCCAGTATGAGTTAGTCAGGGGCAGTCAGTCTTAATTTTCGCTTTCAAATTAGGCCAATCTACGTTTTTATGTAACTGATTTAAAAAAGATATGAACAGTCTAAAAGAAACAAATTTGATGTCTAATTTGTAAGACTAGTCTTAGAGGTTTATGCAACCGGCCCCTGAACACGCAAACACACACGCATTAATCAGATCCAAAACACACAGGGAACCGCTGGATTCCCCCAAACTCACCGTAATACAGTCCGAACACTGCGGCGGCCCCGACGAACGCCCCGAGCATCTGCGCCGTCACATAGATGGGAAACTTCCAGATCTTCAGCTTCCCCAGGATCACCATCGCCAGGGACACGGCCGGGTTGAGGTGACCACCTGACACAACAAACAATAATAGCTCACACTGTGAAATACAGTATAATTCTGTAAAAATACAGTAAAAATCTAAACATATTTACAAAAAAATATGTGTGTTGTTTGTCAGTGCTTGATACAAAAATGTGTTTTTTACCTTTAATACTGACATCCACCATAATAACACAGATGGTAAAAAGAAAGACATGATGACTACAGTGTATGTCCATCTGCTACACACACACACACACACACACACTAGACCCTATACCGACTAAGATATTGAAATAGATGCTTCCAGAGGTCATAGATCGTCTTTGTCTCTAGGATACGTACCAAAAACCTTTAAGCTGGCTATGATTAAACCGCTTGTTAAAAAACCGCAACTTGATCGTACAGAATTAGTCAATTACAGGCTGATCTCGAATCTGCCTTTTCTATCAAAGATATTAGAAAAAGCAGTATCCTCACAACTGTGTTCCTTTCTAGAAAGAAATGATATCTGGAGGATTTTCAGTCCGGATTTAGACCGTACCATAGCACTGAGACAGCTCTCATTAGAGTCACAAATGATTTGCTCTTATCATCCGATCGTGGTTGTATCTCTCTATTAGTGTTATTCGATCTTAGAGCTGCATTTGACACCATTGACCACAACATTCTTTTAAATATACTCGAAAATTATGTTATTAAATCATATCTGACTGATATCAGTTTTTAGCAGTAAATGAATAGATGTCTTATCGATCACAAGTTCAGTATGGTGTACCACAAGACTCAGTACTAGGACCGCTGCTGTTCACTCTGTACATGCTACACACACACACACACTCTGTACATGCTACTCACACACACACACACACTCTGTACATGCTACCCTTAGGAGATATCATTAGGAAGCATGGCATTAGTTTTCACTGTTATGCTGATGATACTCAGCTGTATATTTCTTCACGCCCTGACGAAACTTACCAATTCACAAAATTAACGGAATGCATAGCTGATATAAAAAAACTGGATGACTAGTAATTTCCTACTACTAAATTCTGAAAAAACAGAGATTCTAATTATTAGACCAAAAACGTCCACAGGTAATAACCTAGAATACTGTATAACACTTGATGGCTGCTTGTGAAGTCTTCTTCGTCGGTTAGGAACCTGTGTGTGTGTGTGTGTGTGTGTGTGTGTGTGTGTGTGTGTGTGTGTGTGTGTGTGTGTGTGTGTGTGTGTGTGTGTGTGTGTGTGTGTGTAAAACTGCATTTTTCCATCTTAAAAATATATCTTAATTACGACATATGCTCTCAATGACAAATGCGGAACAGTTAGTTCATGACCTCAAGGCTAGATTATTGTAATGCTCTTATGGGTGGTTGCCCTGCACGCTTAATAAACAAACTACTAGATACTAGAATATCTAAATCGACTGCAGGCGGTAGATTCTTTTCCTATTTAGCACCAAAACACTGGAACAGTCTTCCAAACATTGTCCGGGAAGCAGACACACTCTGTCAGATCAAATCTAGACTAAAAACACATCTCTTTGACCTAGCATACACATAGAACATTATACATTCCTATTATTCAAATCAGTTAAATGATTATTAGGCTGCATAGATTAGGTCAGCCGGAACCGGGAACACTTCCTATAACACCCGATGTACTCGCTACATCATAAGAAGAATGGCGTCTACGCTAATATTAATCTCTCTGTTTATTCCCAGGTTTACTGTAGTTAGCTGGATCCAGGCCGTATCCAGATCAGACGGTGTATTCCACATGTACCAGATGCGGGCCGGATCTGGGCCGACACTATGTTGCTGTCTGGGCTGAGCGACTGAGCCTGGTTTCTCCCAAGGTTCTTTGTCCATCCTGTCACTGTCGCCTCTGGCTTCAATAGCTGGGGACACTTAATATCCAATAATATTATTGATCTGACTGTATGAGAACTGAACTGAGCTGACGATGACATCATTTTTTGCAGAACTGCTCTATAGATTAAATGAACTAATTTAATAATTGATGATCTTTTCAACGAAACTGAATCAACACTGAACTGACTTCAGCTGAACAACAGCCGAAATGCATAATTTTCCTGTTACACTCACTCTCACTTTCACACACACACACAAACACACTTACTCACTCACACCCACACACACGCACACACACACACACAGTAAGATCAATGAATGTGCCCTGACGCTCCAGGCGCTGTATGACCTCAAAAGCAGCCGAGAGGAACGTTCATTCAAGCCTGGCCGATCAAATCAATGCGTCAATCACAGAGAAACATCACAGTCGTCTCACCTGACAGAGATTCATCTAGACACAAACAGAACCAAACAACCGTCAACTCATGTGGACCAATAGGATTTATAGATCCGTTCTGGGAAATCCAATGATCAGATGATGTTATTCCGGCTTACATGTGTGTGTCCATGACAACAACCCCACGACATCATACACTGAAAACACCAGGCTCTTCCTCAGTGTTTGTATTTTTCAGCAGAACCCTCTAAACATTCTTACTATTTCTCTGACTCCATTGGCAGATATTTGTTCTTGTTTTAAGCACAAACTCACTTCATTTTAATTCCAAAAACAAGACTTAATATCTTCAGTCATTGTTCCATCTGTAACTTGATTTAAGAAAGTTTAGATATTTGTGCTGGAAAACAAGACAGAAACACTGAGGAAGAGCATAATGTTTTTTGTGTGTGTGTGTGTGTGATGTTATCTAACCTGTGGAAGCTGGTGTGTGTTCGTGAGGTTGTGTGTGTGTGTGTTTTACCCGACACGCCGCCGGACACGTAGACGCCCATCATGAGTCCAGTGCTGAAGCCGATGTGGACCGTCAGTGGCTCGCCGAGAGTGTTTCTGCTCAACACTGTCTGGGCCACCGACCCGCAGCCGAACAACTGACACACACACACACACACACACACACACCACAGGGACAATATCATCAGAAACCATACAACAACCATACATAATCAGATATCAATAGATGATTAGTTAAATACTTCTGTCAGTCTGTGTGGAATAAAGCTGTTTAATAAAGTTCTGTCTGAAGTGAACGAGCAGAAACTCACCACCAGCACGAAGGTCCCGAGGAACTCGGCCAGGAACTCTTTGAAGATGCTGTGTTTGATGGCGCAGTGATGCTTCATGATCGTGTGTGTGTGTGTGTCTGATGTGACTGAACACACACTCGACGCGCCGCTGCATTAAAGCCCCTGATGGTACGGTCCAAACACACACACACACACATCTATTGATCCCCCTCATTATAGAAGAGCAGCTCAATCTGAGCTAAACACTACATCCACCGCAAACATCACTTCATTTTTTCATACTTTTATTATTCACAGATGCATTAAACTGAAACAAAAGCGACAGTAAAGACATGTATAATGTTACAAAAGATTATATTTCAAATAAATGCTGTGCTTTAGAACTTTCTATGCATCAAAGAATCCTGAAGAATAAAATGTATCAGTTTCCACAGAAATCTGAAGCAGCACAACTGTTTTCCACACTGATAATAATCATAAATGTTTCTTGAGCATCAGATCATCATATTAGAGTGATTTCTGAAGGATCATGTGACACTGAAGACTGGATTAATGATGCTGAAAATTCAGCTTTGATCACAGGAATAAATTACACTTTACTGTATATTCACATAGAAAACAGCTGATTTACATTGTAATAATATTTCACCGTTTAACTGTATTTTTAATTAAATGAATGAACAGAAGAGACTCTTTCAGAAACATTAAAAAATCGTACCGACCCCAAAACTTTGAATGTTATTCCTCAACCTGACCCTGACCTTCACCCTGACCTTGACCCATGACCCTGACCCATGACCCTCACCCTGACCCTCACCCTGACCCATGACCCTCACCCTGACCCTGCCCCATGACCCTCACCCTGACCCTGCCCCATGACCCTCACCCTGACCCTCACCCTGCCCCATGACCCTCACCCTGACCCTCACCCTGCCCCATGACCCTCACCCTGCCCCATGACCCTCACCCTGACCCTCACCCTGCCCCATGACCCTCACCCTGCCCCATGACCCTCACCCTGACCCTGCCCCATGACCCTCACCCTGACCCTGCCCCATGATCCTCACCCTGCCCCTGCCCCATGACCCTCACCCTGCCCCATGACCCTCACCCTGACCCTGCCCCATGACCCTCACCCTGACCCATGACCCTCACCCTGACCCATGACCCTCACCGTGACCTTGACCCTGCCCCATGACCCTCACCCTGACCTTGACCCATGACCCTCACCCTGACCCATGACCCTCACCCTGACCCTGCCCCATGACCCTCACCCTGACCTTGAACCTGACCTTGACCCTGCCTTGGTAAAGCACCGTCTGATAGGAGAGAGAGGTAGTGTGATATCTCAATCAAAATATGCTTTATTAAAACATATTCACCATATTTATCGTTCAGTAATTTCTGATCAAACAGAATGATGAGAACTGTGAGTGAATTCATGAATTAACCTGGTTAAACGATAAGTTTAAAAGAAATGTGGCAGGAGACACACTTGAATGATTAATTAACAGTTAATTTGCATCTAGTGTTGCTTTAGTCTCATTTTCATCTTCATCATCTTCATCTTCATCATCAGCTGTAATCTGTAGTTTAGTGGGTCTGTTGTTGCGCCTGCAGACAGAGGTCAGAGGTCAGTCATTGTGTGCGTGTGTGAGTGAGTGCCTGTGTGTGTGTGTAGTGTGTGTGTGTGTGTGTGTGAGTGAGTGACAGAGGGTGTGAGTAAGCGTGAATTTGTGTGTGTGTGTGTGTGTGTGTGTGTGTGTGAGAGAGTGAGTGAGTGTGTAAGCGTGAGTTTGTGTTTGTGTGTGTGTGTGTGTGTACTTGAGCAAGCTCTTAACGCATTATAGTCCTTCACGTCTATTGCGATCTCAAAACTCCGGCCAGTTGATAATACCTAGAATATCTAAATCGACATCTGGCGGGAGATCCTTTTCCTATTTAGCACCAAAACTCTGGAACAGTCTTCCTAACATTGTCCGGGAAGCAGACACACTCTGTCAGTTCAAAGCTAGACTAAAAACACATCTCTTTTACCTGGCATTCACATAGAACATTATACATTCCTATTATTCAAATCAGTAAAAAGGTCAGCCGGAACCGGGAACATTTCCCATTAATCCCGATGTACTCGTTACATCATAAGAAGAATAGCATCTACGCTAATGTTAGTCTCTCTGTTTATTCCAAGGTTTACTGTAGTCAGCCGGATCCTGGCCGAATCCAGATCTGATGGTGGACCTGCACCTAGACACGACCACAACGCATGATGTAGTCAGCCGGATCCAGGCCGTATCCAGATCAGATGGAGTACCCGCGCCTAGACACGACTTGACTTGTGAGGCTGTGAGTGTGTGTGTGTAAATGTGAGTGTGTGTGTGTGTGTGTGTGTAAGTGTGTGTGTGTGACTCACCTGAGTCCACAGAGCTCAGTGTGCAGCTGCTCGTTCTGCTCCTGCTGCTCCTCCAGGTCTCTCTGCACCTTCTTCTTGCTATTCTCCAGCCTCTCCATCTCCTCCTCGGCCTCGTCCAGCTGACGCTTCAGTGTTCTCAGACGCAGTGCCAGCTGTAAACACACGTGTGCAGTGTGTGTGTGTTAGTGACGCTTCAGTGTTCTCAGACGCAGTGCCAGCTGTAAACATCTCTCTCTGGGGTCACCTGATCTCTCTCTTGGGTCACCTGATCTCTGGGGTCTCCTGATCTCTCTCTGGGGTCTCCTGATCTCTCTCTGGGGTCTCCTGATCTCTCTCTGGGGTCTCCTGATCTCTCTCTCGGGTCACCTGATCTCTCTCTGGGGTCTCCTGATCTCTGGGGTCTCCTGATCTCTCTCTGGGGTCTCCTGATCTCTGGGGTCTCCTGATCTCCGGGGTCTCCTGATCTCTTTCTCGGGTCTCCTGATCTCTGGGGTCTCCTGATCTCTCTCTCGGGTCACCTGATCTCTCTCTGGGGTCACCTGATCTCTCTCTGGGGTCTCCTGATCTCTGGGGTCTCCTGATCTCTCTCTGGGGTCTCCTGATCTCTCTCTGGGGTCTCCTGATCTCTGGTGTCTCCTGATCTCTCTCTGGGGCCACCTGATCTCTGGTGTCTCCTGATCTCTCTCTGGGGTCTCCTGATCTCTGGGGTCACCTGATCTCTCTCTCGGGTCTCCTGATCTCTGGGGTCTCCTGATCTCTGGGGGTCACCTGATCTCTCTCTCGGGTCACCTGATCTCTCTCTGGGTCTCCTCATCTCTCTCTGGGGTCTCCTGATCTCTGGGGGTCTCCTGATCTCTCTCTGGGGTCTCCTGATCTCTGGTGTCTCCTGATCTCTCTCTGGGGTCTCCTGATCTCTGGTGTCTCCTGATCTCTCTCTGGGGCCACCTGATCTCTCTCTCGGGTCTCCTGATCTCTGGGGTCTCCTGATCTCTGGGGGTCACCTGATCTCTCTCTCGGGTCACCTGATCTCTCTCTGGGTCTCCTGATCTCTCTCTGGGGTCTCCTGATCTCTGGGGGTCTCCTGATCTCTCTTTTGGGTCACCTGATCACTCTCTGGGGTCTCCTGATCTCTGGGGTCTCCTGATCTCTGGGGGTCACCTGATCTCTCTCTGGGGTCTCCTGATCTCTGGGGGTCTCCTGATCTCTCTCTCGGGTCACCTGATCTCTCTCTGGGGTCTCCTGATCTCTGGGGTCACCTGATCTCTGGGGGTCACCTGATCTCTCTCTGGAGTCTCCTGATCTCTCTCTCGGGTCACCTGATCTCTCTCTAGGGTCACCTGATCTCTCTCTGGGGTCTCCTGACCCCTCTCTGGGGTCACCTGATCTCTCTCTGGAGTCTTCTGATCTCTGGGGTCACCTGATCTCTGGGGTCACCTGATCTCTCTCTGGGGTCTCCTGATCTCTGGGGTCACCTGATCTCTCTCTCGGGTCACCTGATCTCTCTCTGGGGTCACCTGATCTCTCTCTGGGGTCACCTGATCTCTCTCTGGGGTCTCCTGACCTCTCTCTGGGGTCACCTGATCTCTGGGGGTCACCTGATCTCTCTCTGGAGTCTTCTGATCTCTGGGGTCACCTGATCTCTCTCAGGTCACCTGATCTCTGGGGTAACCTGATCTCTCTCTGGGGTCTCCTGATCTCTCTCTGGGGCCACCTGATCTCTGGGGGTCACCTGATCTCTCTCAGGTCACCTGATCTCTGGGGTAACCTGATCTCTCTCTGGGGTCTCCTGATCTCTCTCTAGGGTCTCCTGATCTCTCTCTGGGGTCTCCTGATCTCTCTCTTGGGTCATCTGATATCTCTCTGGGGCCACCTGATCTCTCTCTGGGGTCACCTGATCTCATGGGTAACCTGATCTCTCTCTGGGGTCTCCTGATCTCTCTCTGGGGCCACCTGATCTCTGGGGGTCACCTGATCTCTCTCAGGTCACCTGATCTCTGGGGTAACCTGATCTCTCTCTGGGGTCTCCTGATCTCTCTCTAGGGTCTCCTGATCTCTCTCTGGGGTCTCCTGATCTCTCTCTGGGGTCTCCTGATCTCTGGTGTCTCCTGATCTCTCTCTGGGGCCACCTGATCTCTCTCTCGGGTCTCCTGATCTCTGGGGGTCACCTGATCTCTCTCTCGGGTCACCTGATCTCTCTCTGGGTCTCCTGATCTCTCTCTGGGGTCTCCTGATCTCTGGGGGTCTCCTGATCTCTCTCTCGGGTCACCTGATCACTCTCTGGGGTCTCCTGATCTCTGGGGTCTCCTGATCTCTGGGGGTCACCTGATCTCTTTCTGGGGTCTCCTGATCTCTGGGGGTCTCCTGATCTCTCTCTCGGGTCACCTAATCTCTCTCTGGGGTCTCCTGATCTCTGGGGTCACCTGATCTCTGGGGGTCACCTGATCTCTCTCTGGAGTCTCCTGATCTCTCTCTCGGGTCACCTGATCTCTCTCTGGGGTCACCTGATCTCTCTCTAGGGTCACCTGATCTCTCTCTGGGGTCACCTGATCTCTCTCTGGAGTCTTCTGATCTCTGGGGTCACCTGATCTCTGGGGTCACCTGATCTCTCTCTGGGGTCTCCTGATCTCTCTCTCGGGTCACCTGATCTCTCTCTGGGGTCACCTGATCTCTCTCTGGGGTCACCTGATCTCTCTCTGGGGTCTCCTGACCTCTCTCTGGGGTCACCTGATCTCTGGGGGTCACCTGATCTCTCTCTGGAGTCTTCTGATCTCTGGAGTCACCTGATCTCTCTCAGGTCACCTGATCTCTGGGGTAACCTGATCTCTCTCTGGGGTCTCCTGATCTCTCTCTGGGGCCACCTGATCTCTGGGGGTCACCTGATCTCTCTCAGGTCACCTGATCTCTGGGGTAACCTGATCTCTCTCTGGGGTCTCCTGATCTCTCTCTAGGGTCTCCTGATCTCTCTCTGGGGTCTCCTGATCTCTCTCTTGGGTCATCTGATATCTCTCTGGGGCCACCTGATCTCTCTCTGGGGTCACCTGATCTCTCTCTGAGGTCACCTGATATCTCTCTGGGGCCACCTGATCTCTGGGGTCACCTGATCTCTCTCTGGGGCCACCTGATCTCTGGGGTCACCTGATCTCTGGGGTCTCCTGATCTCTGGGGTCTCCTTATCTCTCTCTCGGGTCACCTGATCTCTCTCTGGGGTCTCCTGATCTCTGGGGTCACCTGATCTCTGGGGTCTCCTGATCTCTCTCTGGGGTCACCTGATCTCTCTCTGGGGCCACCTGATCTCTGGGGTCACCTGATCTCTGGGGGTCACCTGATCTCTCTCGGGTCAACTGATCTCTCTCTCTGGGGTCACCTGATCTCTCTCTGGGGCCACCTGATCTCTGGGGTCACCTGATCTCTCTCTGGGGCCACCTGATCTCTAGGGTCACCTGATCTCTCTGGTCCTGCAGCTCCAGCCGCTCCTCCTCCAGGTGTAGGGTCAGCTCCTTCACGTGTCGCTCCAGTCTCCGGTTCTGCTGCTGCAGTTCTCCGTTCTCTCTGAGAGAAACACACATCAGACCAGCAGCAGACACACTCAGTGAGATTTGTGTGGTGTGTGTCCTCACTTCTCCTCTCCCAGCAGCCTCTCCTCCAGCTCGTGGACCTGGAGCTGGAGTTTGGAGATGGTGGCGTCGGTCCCGGAGCGCTGAGATCCCTCCAGCTGCGACACGCGGCTCCGCAGGTCCTTATTCTGCAGGACAAAACAATCAGGATCTTAAACACACTCATACAAACCCGTCAGGCAGCGCTTCCTAAACTCACTGAATGCTGAATTTCAAACAATGCTATAACTTCTTGCTTTCCTGTATTCTGCTTCAGCTCTCTTTCCCTTGGTAAACTGTGTGCATGTATGTGTATGTTAGAGTAGTTTAAGTGTTTAGTCTAGTTAATAAAGTCTTGTTCACCTGAAGTTGTCCATGCTTCATGCTCATATACTGAAGTCCCTAATCATGCAGATTTTGACTACTTGCTCTGAGTAGTACTGTACAGTAAGAAAGACATTTCCCATACCCCGGAAATGTACTTTTCTTAGAATTAATAAACAATTAACAATGAGTGTTCACAGGAAAAACAGGTTAATTGATTGTAATATTAATTTTACTACATTAAGTTAATTCTATTAACTGATCCAAATATTAATCATTAATTATAACAAGCTACATCATCTAACTTTGTGACGGAAATTATGTTTACAACGCAATGGGTTATTTGTGTTTAATTATTTTTGCACGTTAAGGATTTTTTAATTAATCGCATGCGTTAACATGTTAATGCTGAGAGCCTTCACTCATCTGTGAGTGTGGAACGATGGTTCACCTGCCGCTCCAGACGGATTCGGTCACACTCCAGATCCTGTCGAGCAGCTCGTTCCTGCAGCAGTTCTGCTCTCAGCTGCTCCATCTGACACACACACACACAATGAGTCATCATTTGTCCTCTTATATCATGTGTTCAATGTGTTTTCTTCCTCTTATACCTCTTACTCCTCTAACTGTGCTCTATATAGGCCGGGAGCCAGGCCAACTTTTACCAGAGATGTGTTCAAAACATGAACAAACAGATGTGAGGGTGATCATTTACATGCAGTATATCCAAACCAAAATGCCTCACATCAGAACAGTTAGAGTCAGAGCAAAAGACATTTTCTTGATCCTCCTGTATTATGCCAAGTCATCAACTGTCAACATCATCTTTGACATGGGAGATAGACTAATCAACATCACCCAGCTGGCTGAAGATCATTCACAGGAACACATCTCAGCTCTTCTGGCCTTGCATGACTGCACTTCAGCATTCAAAGGTCCGTCCGATGAAGATTGTTAATCAGAATTCAACGTTTATTCAGATCTTTGCTGAAGTGGGGAACTCTTGGGAGCTCGATGAACAGATTCTCAGCGGTGTTCGAGAGTTCACCTGTCGCCTCTATGGTTTCAATCGTCGAGTCAAGAAGATGTGTGGCTCAAGCCTTGAGCTTCGACAGGGTCTCTCCGTTGACCTCTCAACCTTCCCACCTTGCAGGAGAGTCCTCTTACAGCACATGAAGAGAGTAAACTTTCACGTATGCCTCTGGAAGAGGGCTCATGAGCACTACCCGGAGATCCCAAGCCCTCTCCACCATGGGTTTCACATAAACACAGAGACAGGCAAGCTAGAACCACTATGGTTTGAGGGCGACGTCGTCCCCAAAGCCCTTGTTGATGTCTTGGCAGAAAATGAAACCAATGAAGATGACTGATGAACTCCATATGAATATAGGTGAAGATGAGGAAGAGGAGGAAAATGATGATTGAGAGTTTATATTCTACTCTAACATCACCAATCGTCTAAGTACAGCATGGATAAGCAGCAAAAAGATCTAAGAACCAAAGAAATGTTTTCTATTTTATGCTTTAATAAATCTCACATTTGGTTAATTGATTTTGTGTGATTGTACCCTATGTTGTACCCTGACCCCAGTCCACCTAGGGGCATAACATTACTCACTTCATATAGTATAGCAGTACATAAGCCAAGTCTCAACTCTTTTTAGAAATATTGTTCATATGCAAAAAATATGCTTAATCCCATATGGAATGGTAATGCTTGAAAGTTGTTTTCTCTGATTTGAGGTACAGTGGAGAACTTTGGTTATACCAGCTGGAATCCTCTAGATAGAAAGGTCATCTTGGACTTAAATTGAAGCTTATAAACTTGGGAAGTTTTTCATGTACATTTGAGGCAGTGATATGTATAATAAAATGCTTGAAAATTATCACTTTTGATGATAATTTGTCAGACGGACAGACATTTGTTGTCTTTTGGGGTATGTTGAGGGTGATATTTGACAGCAAAAAGGCAGCAATCCCCAGAATCTTTTTCTGCTAGTTTCCATATCTGCAAAATTCTAGGGTTATATGACCATTTATGTAGCTGCAGTACCTTAATATTCACAACTACATCATTCCGCCAAAAGCTTTTCCCAAAAAGGGTGTTTTTGGCCCCTGAGACCGAACGGGGCCGAGTTGGGGGTGGTCGTTACCAGCTCGTGATGGCCCAAGGCATAAGATAATAGGAAATAATAGTGAAAAAAGGTAGCAAAAAACACAGTGGACCTGGCTCCCGGCCTATATATGATGCATTGATCTGTGCATTTTAGCGCATGAAACACCTTTATATTGCGTCACACACACATGGAGTGTAATAATGATGATGATGATGATGATGATGATGATGATGATGATGATGATGGTGTGTGTTATTCTGAGCAGGTCTGTGGTTCTCTGTGTCTGATTGGGATGAAAATGACCGACTCCAGTTAGTGAAACCCGGTTGAATGAAGCCCAGAAATAGAGACACTGGAGAACTAGAGGCTCTTTGTCTTTAAAGAGCTTTAACAGGGTCAGAAACACACAGTCCATTACACACTGACCAGCATCACGACCTATTTACACACACACACACACACACTGACCAGCATCACGACCTATTTACACACACACACACACACACACACAC